TAACACAGTAATATGTGAGACGGGGTTGTTAAGGCGCTCTATTAGTGAGTGTCTTGGGGCACCAGGCGGGTCACCAGCCTCAGATGCGTCTTCCTTCACCAATAAAACTTTTGAAGAATTATATTTTGTACAACGATTGTGTACAGGAGAGAATATGTTGGCTTATGTATGTATGAAAGTGTTGACTGTTACTTGATTATATTAATATTGACGCCATTCACGGCGTCTCCCAAAAGTTGTGTGACAGTATTAAGTAAATGTTCCTGAGCCGCACTTGTAACCAAACCCGACCACCTCATGACTCTCTCTACTGCCTTCAACACCACCCCACTCCTACTATGTTGACACACACACACACACACTCACCAGTGGACAGATAGAACTCGCCCAGTAAACTTACCGTCAATCAGTTGATTTAATTTGCATTTACGTTTTTTTCTTCTTTGTGACTCAGCTACCACCAGCAGCATCGCCACCACCAACAACACCATCAACATCTTTCTGGTTGCAGTTGACATCTCTGAAGGAAAAACAGTGGTCATCAGTCATTACTTAAACAACACGGGGAAAAAAATACAAATTTTATGTACAGTCACGAAAAAAAAAGTGCAGTCAGTTTTCCTTCTGATCCATGAACCTGTGAATTCGAGACATCGGGAGGGTACCTTTTCCTGATGAAATATTCCAATGGTCTCGATAACAAATCCGATCCATCGGGACTGCCTCCGTGGCTGTGGCGTCTCTGAAAGACTTTACCTGACGCTGTTCCCGATCAGTCAGGTATGACCCGAGGTCTTTGAGAGACGTTGCAGTCCCGATGGGTTGGGTTTGCTATCAGGATCTTTGGAACATTTCATCGGGAAAGGGTACCCGCCCGATGATCGTCCAGATGAATATAAAACATAAGAACATAAGAAAATAAGGAGTCTGCAAAAGGCCGGTTGGCCTGTGCATGGCAGCTCCTGTCGAGAGTTTCTACCACTCTCTATCATCCATGAATCTATCTAGCCTCCTTTAAAAGCTCTCCAGCGTTCCAGCACTTACTACAAAGTTGCTAAGCTTGTTCCACTTGTCCACCACCTTATTTGTGAACCAGATCCTTCCTATCTCCCTCCTAAACCTAAACTTATCCAACTTAAATCCGTTGCTACGAGTCCTATCCTGCTCGAATATTATAAGAACTTTATCTATATCGCCTTTATTGATTCCTTTCACCCACTTTAATACTTCTATCATATCTCCCTGCACTCTTCGTCTTTCTAGGGAATGCAAGTTTAGTTTCTTTAACCTATCTTGATATGGAAGGTTTCTAAGTCCCGGAATCATTTTCGTCATTCTTCGCTGCACCGACTCTAGTGAATTGATATCCATTCTATAATAGGGGCACCAGACTGGCCAACACCTGGTGAATTATAACCCCCCAAACAAACCTCACAAACACCAGAGAATAATAATAATTTCTATGTCCCATAGATATCCTCTTTACACTTTTACGGTAGTTTGGTCTTTTTTTTCGTAACATTTTTTTTTTTTTGTGTTTGGGGGATATAATATTGGGGTACCCGATGCCTAGGTTGTGGCAACAGTGGGCCATCCAGCCGATTAGAAATATTGGTAGCCCTGCCCGGTACATTGCAATCCCGACCCATCGTATTGAGCGAAGCACTTTCTTGAATGGCCTCACCCTACAAAATTGCATTGTGCCCAATGGCCGGGCACACCATCGTGCATGATGACTGAGGATACGGCCTCATGAATGGCGCACTGGGTTTGTGTGATGTCACGGATTCACAATTTCATGAGTCTCAGTGTTCATGGATGGAACAAAAGTTTGACGGCACTTTTTCCGTGACTGTTCAAACTTGAGGAACAACTCTTATACAAGCTAATATTTCAACACCTAAGTTACCCCAGCTGCTAGTGTACGAGGACTCAACAACACCAACTACTCACCTGAAGATGGGAGAGAGACACTTGTAGGGTAACTCAGGAGCAGGACGGCTGACGGGCAGAGTGTGGGATACAGAAGGTGTTGGGGTTATATAGCTTACAAGGTGCGTCATCACAAGCACCGCCGCCTCTTGACGGAACTATTGATATGCCTGGTTGATGACAGCCAGGCCTGCCAACCTACTGTATGTGAAGGACAACACCTCCCAGCCCCCTCCCCCTCCCTACAACCACCAACACTTACACCACTCACCAACACCCCCACACCAACACCCACCAACACTCCCCCCACACCCTCACCACACTCCACCACCACCAACACTCCCCCACACCACTCACCAACACCCCCACACACTCCCCACACCACTCACCAACTCCCCACACCACTCCTTCCACTCCACCAACACTCCCCACACCACTCACCAACACTCCCCACATAACATTTATAATTTTGTTCCATAATTTCTTGTTTTTTAGTCAAATTTTCTTATTAAACCTAAAAATCCATTTACTAGATAACAAGAGAACAGACACACACATAACTCGACACATACCTGCACTGTCTAGGTACATTGTTTGTATACCTGCACTGTCTAGGTACATTGTTTGTATACCTCCACTGCCTAGGTACATTGTTTGTATGCCTGCACTGTCTAGGTACATTGTTTGTATACCTCCACTGTCTAGGTACATTGTTTGTATACCTGCACTGTCTAGGTACATTGTTTGTATACCTCCACTGCCTAGGTACATTGTTTGTATGCCTGCACTGTCTAGGTACATTGTTTGTATACCTCCACTGCCTAGGTACATTGTTTGTATACCTCCACTGTCTAGGTACATTGTTTGTATACCTCCACTGTCTAGGTACATTGTTTGTATACCTCCACTGTCTAGGTACATTGTTTGTATATTCTCCACTGTTCAGGCACATTGTTTGTATACCTGCACTGTCTAGGTAATATTGTTTGTATACCTGCAATTGTCTAGGTACATTGTTTGTATACCTGCACTGTCTAGGTACATTGTTTGTATACTTCCACTGTCTAGGTTACATTGTTTGTATACCTGCACTGCTCCAGGTGCCATTGTTTGTATACCTCCACTGTCAAGGTAATATTGCTTGTATAATTTCACTGTCTAGGCACATTGTTTGTATACCTGCATTGCCTGTACACATTGTTTGTATACCTGCACTGTCTAGGTACATTGTTTGTATACCTGCACTGTCTAGGTACATTGTTTGTATACCTGCACTGTATAGGTACATTGTTTGTATACCTGCACTGTCTAGGCACATTGTTTGTATACCTCCACTGTCTAGGTACATTGTTTGTATACTTACACTGTCTAGGTACATTGTTTGTATGCCTTCACTCTCTAGGTACATTGTTTGTATACCTGCACTGTCTAGGTACATTGTTTGTATACCTGCAATGTCTAGGTACATTGTTTGTATGCCTGCACTGTCTAGGTACATTGTTTGTATACCTGCACTGTCTAGGTACATTGTTTGTATACCTGCACTGTCTAGGTACATTGTTTGTATACCTACACTGTCTAGGTACATTGTTTGTATCCCTGCACTGTCTAGGTACATTGTTTGTATCCCTACACTGTCTAGGTACATTGTTTGTATCCCTACACTGTCTAGGTACATTGTTTGTATACCTGCACTGTTCAGGTACATTGTTTGTATACCTACACTGTCTAGGTACATTGTTTGTATACCTGCACTGTCTAGGTACATTGTTTGTATACCTGCACTGTCTAGGTACATTGTTTGTATACCTGCACACTGTCTACTGTACATTGTTTGTATACCTCCACTGTCTAGGTACATTGTTTGTATACCTCCACTGTCTAGGTACATTGTTTGTATACCTGCACTGTCTAGGTACATTGTTTGTATACCTCCACTGTCTAGGTACATTGTTTGTATACCTCCACTGTCTAGGTACATTGTTTGTATACCTGCACATGTCTTGTTAGTACATTGTTTGTATACCTCCACTGTCTAGGTACATTGTTTGTATACCTGCACTGTCTAGGTACATTGTTTGTATACCTCACTGTCTAGGTACATTGTTTGTATACCTACACTGTCTGGGTACATTGTTTGTATACCTGCACTGTCTAGGTACATTGTTTGTATACCTGCACTGTACTTGTTTGTATACCTCCACTGTCTAGTACATTGTTTGTATACCTCTGTATAGGTACATTGTTATACCTCCACTGTCAGGTACATTGTTTGTATACACTGTCTAGGTACATTGTTTGTATACTTGCACTGTCTGGGTACATTTTTTGTATACCTCCACTGTCTAGGTACATTGTTTGTATACCTGCACTGTCTAGGTACATTGTTTGTATACCTCCACTGTCTAGGTACATTGTTTGTATACCTGCACTGTATAGGTACATTGTTTGTATACCTCCACTGTCTAGGTACATTGTTTGTATACTTGCACTATCTAGGTACATTGTTTGTATACCTGCACTGTCAAGGTACATTGTTTGTATGCCTTCACTGTCTAGGTACATTGTTTGTATACCTGCACTGTCTAGGTACATTGTTTGTATACCTCCACTGTCTAGGTAGTTGTGCGCTAGTTCATGAACAGAATCACATTGTTCTTGCTGGCGTTGATGACATCCGCCACATTGCATTGAGATTATTTGTTGATCTACTACACACACACACACACACACACATACATACATACAGTGAGAGAGACATTTTTACTCACTACTGTCTCACTCTGTTTCCATTGCTTCCTAAGTGTCCAAAAGAATCATAGTCAATAATAATGAAATTCAAAATGCTCGGATGATCTTGAGCATTTCCTCTAACTCAAATAATAATCTTTTAATTTGTGTTTGATATAAAGTTTTGTAAATTAAGGGTTGAGGAGGTATATGGTAAATACAGATCAGTTTAGTGAAATACTTTAATTTCTCACTCGTCTTTATGCATCGCTGTATTCTGGGGCCATTTTTTTTATCAGGCCATACAAGTGTTGCGTTGGGCTTATTAAGACACGGTCAAATGCACTTGATTTATTTAGCATATATAAAGCAGATATAAAGCAAAGTCCTATATGGAACAACACTGTCTGCAGGGCGTTGTTGTTTTCATCCGGAAGCTGAACAGTGGACAGCTAGTGAACAACCAGTTCTCTTGGGGACTTCTTCAGAGAGCGAGTGTTGTTCAGGGTGTTGGTACCGCAGCCCTGAGACGCGTTCAATGAGCGAGTGTTGTTCAGGGTGTAGGTACCGCAGCCCTGAGACGTGTTCAGAGAGCGAGTGTTGGTACCGCAGCCCTGAGACGTATTCAGAGAGCGAGTGTTGGTACCGCAGCCCTGAGACGTGTTGAAGGAGCGAGTGTTGTTCAGGGTGTAGGTACCGCAGCCCTGAGACGTGTTCAGAGAGCGAGTTTTGTTCAGGGTGTTGGTACCGCAGCCCTGAGACGTGTTCAGAGAGCGAGTTTTGTTCAGGGTGTAGGTACTGCAGCCCTGAGACGTGTTGAAGGAGCGAGTGTTGTTCAAGGTGTAGGTACCGCAGCCCTGAGACAGGTTGTGTAGAGAAACAGGGCCAAGATGACGTCACGAGGTAGTGTAGGGGCGGGGTGAGGCGGCGGAAGACAGGTGGCAGCAGGTCAGATCAGGTCATGCTAGACGGTAAGGTCATCAGAGGAGGTTCAGGTTAAAGAATCCGGTCTTCATGTTCCCAAACTGTTCAGTCGACGTTGGTCAAGATGATCACTAGACCGATAACTCAGTCTCCACCATCGTCCACAACCAGTCTGGGCAGCGGTGGTCATCTCACGGCTCATTCTGCTTCAGGTGCTAAACATGTGAGGAAGATCTGTTGGAGAGATGAAATGAGAGACTTTAGTTTTTTGTTTATGTACTCAATAAAATACAATATCTATACCTGTACAAAATCGTGTTAAAAAAAAAGATAACGAACGAAGGATTTTCACAATACTACCGAGAAAACAGGAGTCATCACAGTGTTCATTCTGAAAGTAATCATACTCCTCCTCCCTCCCTCTCCCCCTCTCCCCCTCTCCCCCCTCCTCCCCCCCCCTCCTAAGTACAGATAGTATTTTTTGAGTGCTGACTAACGAAGTAATAAATTCTGCATTAAGAATAAAAACGAATAGCTCGGGAGAGTCTGTAACAACCACCATCACCACCAACTACTACCACCACTACCATCACCACTATATCCACCACCACCACCACTATCACCACCACCACTATCTCCACCACTATCACCACCACCACCACTATTACCACCACCACCACTACCACTACCACCACCACTACCACCACCACCACCACCGTTCTCTTATGTCCAATGTTTGTAGGTATTTCCCATGGGGCTGAGACTGGGGAAGATGAGGCAGTGAGAGGTGATAAAGATAAAGAACTTACCTCCTCCTTTATATCTTCAGGTGATGTAATATTGAGCCTAAACATCAAAGCACTCGTGATCATCTTCCTACGTCCCTTCGATAACTTCTTCGTTACTGAAAACGGTAAAAAATAGGGTACGTTATAAATAGGCTTCTTATACGTTCACACACACACACACACGTTGGTCAATATTTGTTAAAGGACATTGTCGTCTGTGCCCTGATATCATACAACAGTCAAATAAATTTTTAAATAGTAATACATTTATATATTTATCCACCTGAAAATTTTTAAATTTCAATTGTTAAAGGAATTGATGAAGAGAGAAAACATGACAACACGAGGGAGAAAAGTGAGAGTGTACGGAGTCAGTAGGAGGCGCCACGTGGGGTCAGTAGGAGGCGCCACGTGGGGTCAGAAGGAGGCGCCACGTGGGGTCAGCAGGAGGCGCCACGTGGGGTCAGCAGGAGGCGCCACACGGGCTCAGTAGGAGGCGCCACGCGGGCTCAGTAGGAGGCGCCACACGGGGTCAGTAGGAGGCGCCACACGGGGTCAGTAGGAGGCGCCACACACAACAACAAACACATATTTACTTTTTTATGTCACTATGGGGTCAAACTCCTCCCGACGTTATGTGACTTTAATGATTGGCAGAAAGAACGTGGATGAATGACCTCCGAAAAGATCATAGTATCGAGGGGAAAGTTTTAAATTGGATAAAATCATGGCTCACCGATAGAACGCAGAGGGTCAGCGTAGATGGTGTTAAATCTGAGTGGGGCCGTGTAACCAGTGGGGTTCCCCAGGGGTCAGTACTAGGCCCACTCTTGTTCATAATCTACATAAACGATCTAGATACTGGGATCAGCAGTGACATAAGCAAGTTTGCGGATGACACCAAAATAGGGCGGCAAATTAATTCAGGGCAGGATGCAAATGCATTAAAGGAGGATCTAAATAAACTGCAGGGGTGGTCTGAAAAATGGCAAATGAAATTCAACACCAGCAAGTGCAGCGTACTTAATATTGGAAGAACAAATATTTATAATGTATACAGCCTTAACAACATCAACCTAGAGAAGTCGACTTGTGAAAGAGACCTAGGGGTACTTGTAAGCCCGGACCTACGGCCTAGAAAACAGTGCGTTAATGTTCGAAATAAGGCAAACAGAGTATTGGGTTTTATATCTAGAAGTGTAAGTAACAAGAGTGCAGAGGTCTTATTGCAACTATATCTTGCGCTAGTCAGGCCACACCTCGATTATGCGGTTCACTTCTGGTGCCCCTATTATAGAATGGATATAAATTCACTAGAGTCGGTGCAGCGAAGAATGACAAAAATGATTCCGGGACTTAGAAACCTTCCATATCAGGATAGGCTAAAGAAACTTAACTTGCATTCCCTAGAAAGACGAAGAGTGCGGGGAGATATGATAGAAGTATTTAAGTGGGTGAAAGGAATCAATAAAGGGGATATAGATAAAGTTCTTATAATATCCGAGCAGGATAGGACTCGGAGCAACGGATTCAAGTTGGATAAGTTTAGGTTTAGGAGGGAGATAGGAAGAAACTGGTTCACAAATAGGGTGGTGGACGAGTGGAACAAGCTTAGCAACTTTGTAGTAAGTGCCGGAACTCTGGAAAGTTTCAAAAGGAGGCTAGATAGATTCATGGATGATAGAGAGTGGTAGTAACTCTCGACAGGAGCTGCCATGCACAGGCCAACCGGCCTATTGCAGACTCCTTATTTTCTTATGTTCTTATGTTCTTATGTACAATAGTGCTGTTGTAATATTGGGTGTCTCAGTAAACACGCGAATAGTTTGTACTACAAGAGCAACACTGGTCCTCACTTGTTGATGAGCTGCCATGCACATGCCAATTGCAGACTCCTTATTTTTTTATGTTCTTTAGTCTGCCACAAGTGAGGACAACATTGTTGTAATACAAATATTTACCCCTTCTCTACTGAAATCTCTAAGGTAACGTGGATATATTTTTATCTGAAACACCCTGTAGATGTCTGTATACAAATTTAGTCGTTGACAGAATCATTACTGTATATAGATGGGAGAGGAAAATATCTACTTACGCAAGTCTGCCAACGCTACTGAAATGTCATCGTCTGAAGGGATGATCTCGGAAAGATAATTTGTTAGGTTCGCTCTGCAGCCTTTGATGAGGTCCTGGCATTCTGTGAGAGTTAGTTCATCAGCACAACCTGAAAGAGTCGTCAGCGAAAACATTATTAATTGACATTAATACAGCAACTTGAGAGTTGTTACGGTAATATAAAAAAAGTTATGGGCAGGTTAACAGGTTGTTAACACAGTAATATGTGAGACGGGGTTGTTAAGGCGCTCTATTAGTGAGTGTCTTGGGGCACCAGGCGGGTCACCAGCCTCAGATGCGTCTTCCTTCACCAATAAAACTTTTGAAGAATTATATTTTGTACAACGATTGTGTACAGGAGAGAATATGTTGGCTTATGTATGTATGAAAGTGTTGACTGTTACTTGATTATATTAATATTGACGCCATTCACGGCGTCTCCCAAAAGTTGTGTGACAGTATTAAGTTAATGTTCCTGAGCCGCACTTGTTACCAAACCCGACCACCTCATGACTCTCTCTACTGCCTTCAACACCACCCCACTCCTACTATGTTGACACACACACCAGGGGACAGTTAGAACTTAAACTTACTTGTCATTAATAACATCACGTCCTCGTCATAGCATTTTTTTTTTGCGATAACAATAGCCAATAGCACCGCCGACAATAGCAAGATATTCACCAAGACCTTCATGTTTACAGCAGACAAAGAACTGTGGGAGAAATAAGGTGTCGTTACGGGCCAATACTGTACAACAAGAGGTGCTGAAGTAATGAAGTTAGTGTAGTCCTCGACCGTACTTTCGGCCACCCTACCAAATTTCAGCTCTATATTTAAAACTGTGGAAATGCTTAGTAGTGGAGCAGATATGTGAAATATTTGTGACAATGATAAAAGCATGAAATTTGGCACAGATCTAGGGTAGGTCTGAAGGAAGATTTTTGGCTACAGGACCACTCGAGACTCTTCCTGTGATGGTCGCGGCGGACATTTTTGTTACGCCATTACGACAAAATAAATTATGCGTCATAACTTTAAAACTAATCAAGATAATCTTGTACTCATGTTTTCAGGGTCAAGAAATACAGTAAAACAATCACATGTACCATATTATGGAAATGTATCCTGCAATCATAAGTAAATGTGGTCAGAGGGACTTTTTCAATTGCCGGACATTGTGCATGAGCTCTTTGTCAAAGAAAGTTATTTAAAGCAGTGTAGTGTCTAAAATAATCGTGTTTTAACACTGACAGGCAAGGTAACATAAATAGCATTTCTTATTCAAATATTTCAATTATGCCTTTGATAAGCAGTGAGTTATACATCTTATATGCTATCCAAACTTATGTTCAAAAGAAAAGAATTAGAATATCATAATTTTCATAATTTACAATGCAACAGTTGTGGTCTATTGGATATCTACAGCATCAGCCACACTTCTGTTGTTCTTCCTCTGAGGGAAAAGTTCTTTGCGGGCCTGGTTTAAACTTTCTTTGCCACTGGTTCAGTCATACAGTAGGATTACAAAACGTTCAACATGTTTCATCCAGGCTTCTACATCTTCAGGTGTTGCACCCAAAGCACCAAAAGCTGCAGTCACCGCATCTTAGGACTTCCAGGCTTCCTAGGCTATATTCTTTCTCTGTCTGCAAAGAATGACACACTGTCACATCCTGTTAAAGCATGATACTTTGGTAGTGCAAGGCAGCGATCAGATCCCATTGCTCTGACAATTTCATTGACTGGAATGTGACTCATATTTTTCCCTATCCCGAAGGAGACCCAGAGTACATCATGTTCAGACGATTAGCTGATGCAACAGCTGAGACCCACATCTGTATAGACAGTGCGTATTTATGCTGTGTCTACTTCTTTATGGTTATATGGAGCTAGACCTGATGCATCTCGAGGCTGGATGAAGAGAACGCCTGCGTGAGGTGTGCTGATAACCTGTTTCTCTGTACTCATCAACAACAATCTTATTGCCCAAAAAAGAAAATAGCCCAGATTTATTGTTATCCAGGCGAAGGAGCTCTTGCTAGTTTCTAGGAATGACACTTGTCGCTTTCACACATCTCACTCCTTTGCCTCTTCGCTGTTGTGTACCAGCCTTTATGCTATGAGGAAGGCATTCATCCTTAACAACGTCTACACGAAAAATCTTCTGTAGTTGGGATTCTAAGTAAGGTAAGAATACGTGCATGGCATAGTCACTGATTGTCTTAGCAGAAACTGGTTGAAGCATTTGCACAATAACAGCTCCCCTCGAAAATTATGACCTGTGGTGTGGTGTAATGGTTGACATGCTCGCCTCGCAAGCGAGCGGACCCGGGTTCGATCCCCGGGCAGGGTGAAACTATGGGAAAGTTTCTTTACGCCATTCGCCTCTGCTTACTCAGCAGTAATTGGGAACATGCATGTTAATCGATTTGCGGATCGTGTTCCAGGGTAATGGTTCGCCAGTGCAGTTGGTGAGTTGTCCGGTCTTCTCGGACTATTCCTTGACACTGGGTCATGCAGCTCGTTAATCTTAGGGTGTGGTTGTTGTGTTGGCGACGGCTTCTACAACTTAAACAAAATTCACGCCTAGGTGGCCCTTGGGCTGGCCATCCTCGTTACACGAGGGGCAAACATTATTTATATGACATCAGTGACAGGAGTTTCAGCAGTCACATCCGGTGGTACTAGATCCTCCAAATATCCCGAAAGATCTGATTTAGTACCATGTCTCAGTTACCAAATTGCGACATCACAGGAGGATATGTTTGATTTTCATGCTCAAAGAACTTGTCAAGGTCTCCATCTCGCGCTTGAGATGCTATAAATTCTGGAGAAAAGAGAACAGTCATTCTTCAAAGACAACACTTGTTGCTGATCTTTAGGATTTGCTCTGACTGGAGGTCTACTGAAGAGAGGAAGGTTGTTGCGCTTGATAGTATCAGCAATTGGTTTAGCCACATCCATAAGATGGTCTTTGACATAAGCATCGTGCTGTTCTTGTCCCAATTTCTGCCACAGCAGGGTCTGTCAGGTCTCTGCTGGGCAGTACCAGGTCTGTGCTGTTGTTATTAAATGGATTTCCATTTCATTGAAGGTATCTTTGAGTGACTGCACATTGGTGAAGTATAATTTATGGACATGGTGCATCTGTTCATTATGACAGCCACATTGTGACATCTTTGTTATCATTAAGACCTCTAATATCACTCTTACCATTTCTGGGCCAGACATGACAAAAAGTACACTGACCGAAAGTATATATGATTATAGAATAAATTGACACAATACACTAATTATGGTTGCTTTATTGTACTCCTCGACCCTGAAAGCATGGAGAGAGACTCTTCAAGTACAAGATTATCTTGATTAGTTTTATGGTTATTCGTTCATATTTTTGCACATATCTGCTGGACTATAAGGAACACACACACACACACACACACACACACACACACACACCATAGAGCAGTGGTTCTCAACCTGGGGGCCATGGCCCCCAAGGGAGCCACGGCAAGAATTTAGGGGAGCCACGGCGAGCTGTTATAAATTGTACGCTTCCAAATAATGTTGGGAATCTGAATTAAACAAAACTTGTATTACTTATTTTGACTTGGCAGAAGAGAATTTTCATTCTTTTTTTTTGTCATTTTGTTTAATAATAACGACAATACAATTTTAATAATTACATACTCTGGTGCCATTTTATTTTTATTTTTTACGGATTATTTAAGATTTCACAGGTCCAGTCCCTGTCTGTGTGACAGGCGCTGGACCGAGCTGCTGAACTAACTTGTTCAGTACGTGTCCGTGTGTCATCCCTTTGCAAGTGGTGATAGGACCGAAGGATCTCAGTGGAGTGTATTGTCTCTGAACCATATATTGTGCTTGAGCTTGACTCAGCATAATATACTCGTAATTGGTGTTACTTATTTAGTTTCATAATTCATGTGGTCGCTGCTTTACGTGGGTGAAATATTTGTACACTTCCTTTATTAATTATTTCCATATTTATTGGTGCCATTGTTGTTCATACTCATTCTTTACTTATATAATCCTACCATTTTTAGTGCTAAATTGGTATGACTCACTAGTCTTCCAAGTTGGGCAGTGCTTGTCAAAGGAGGCGTGTTCTTGCTTACAGGAAGTACACTTCAGCTTGCTTGCTTAAGTGTGGATGTTTACCTGTGTGCATGTTTGTGTATGACTGTATGTGTGCTTTATGTGTGAGTGTATGGGCGTGTTATGTATGTGAATGTGTGTGCGTGTTTGCCATTCTAACTCTTGTCCTATTTATCTGTCCTTCTTTATCATTCTTTAGTCTTTATCACTTGTCTGTTTGTCTGTTCTGGGAGAAAAATGAAGGCCACGAGGATGTTGAAAATCCCTCAAGGGGGGAATGGAGTGAAAAAGGTTGAGAACCACTGCCATAGAGTTAGTTCACATGATCCATAATACGGTTGACATGTCTAATAATCCTGGACTAACTTTGGTCTCAGTCTCACCACTCATGAACTCAACACTGTCTCACCACTCATGAACTCAACACTGTCTCACCACTCATGAACTCAACACTGTCTCACCACTCATGAACTCAACACTGTCTCACCACTCATGAACTCAACACTGTCTCACCACTCATAGACTCAACACTGTCTCACCACTCATGAACTCAACACTGTCTCACCACTCATGAACTCAACACTGTCTCACCACTCATGAACTCAACACTGTCTCACCACTCAACTCAACTGAACTCAACACTGTCTCACCACTCATGAACTCAACACTGTCTCACCACTCATGAACTCAACACTGTCTCACCACTCATGAACTCAACACTGTCTCACCTCTCATGAACTCACTCACTACTCCAGCTCACCAGTGATAAGCAGTAAACACGCCATTTTAGTGAGGACTCAACAACACCAACTACTCACCTGAAGATGGGAGAGAGACACTTGTAGGGTAACTCAGGAGCAGGACGGCTGACGGGCAGAGTGTGGGATACAGAAGAAGGTGTTGGGGCTATATAGCTTACAAGGTGCGTCATCACAAGCACCGCCGCCTCTTGACGGAACTATTGATATGCCTGGTTGATGACAGCCAGGTCTGCCAACCTACTGTATGTGAAGGACAACACCCCCCAGCCCCCCCCCCCCATTACTTGGATCATTATTATTTATTATTTTCATAAACGACATAGATATCGGCGTAGACAGCAACATAAGCAATTTTGCTGATGACACTAAAATAGGGCGTGTTATTAAATCTGACGAGGAATCCGCCAAACTACAGGAAGATCTAAAAAAAAAAATTCGAATGGTGTGAAAAATGGCAGGTGAAATTCAATGTGGACAAATGTAAAGTACTGAGTCTAGGAGATGTAAACACAGAATCCGGATAACAGATGAACAACGACGTTATAGAGAAATCCGAATGTGGGAGAGATTAAGGAGTAATGATAAGTAGGAATCTTAAACCAAGTAAACAATGTGTATTTGTTCGAAACATGGTTAACAAAGTACTTGGGTTCATGCAAAGGAGTGTTAGTTACAAGACTAGCGAGGTCATCCTAAAACTATATCTTGGGCTTGCGAGATCTCACTTGGATTACGCAGTTCAATTCTGGTCACCGCACTACAGAATGGATATAGAATCCCTGGAAAGAATTGAGAGGAGAATGACAAGACTAATCCCGGGCATTAGGAACCTTGAATACAGTGACCGGTTAAAACATCTTAATTTTCACTCCCTCGACAGACGTAGAGTGAGGGGCGATATGATAGAGGTGTATAAATGGAAGTCAAGGCTAAACAAATGACATTGCAAAGGTACTCAAACTATCCAACCAGGAGCGAACTCGTAACAATGGTTTTAAATTAGACAAATTTAGATTTAGGCGCGAAATAGGTAAACATTGGTTTGGAAATTGAGGAGTGGAAGAGTGGAACAAGTTACCGAATATCATCATTAACTCGAATACGCTGGATAGCTTCAAACATAGGTTGGATGGATATATGAGCAATAGGGTTGGGTGTAAATGGGACTGCCCAGTATGGACCAATAGGCCCGCTGCAGTTTCCTCCATTCTTATGTACTCATGTATATCCACCAACACTTACACCACTCCCCTACACCGCTCACCTACACCCCCTATCAGTACTCCCACTCACCAACACACACACACACCACTCACCATTCCCACACACACCACTCACCATTCCCACACACACCACTCACCAACACCCCCCTGAACACCCCCCCTACAAACTACTCACCTCACACACCACTTATCTCTCCCACACACCACTCATCTCTCCCACACACCACTCATCTCTCCCCACACACCCACTCACCTCCACACACCACTCCACATCTCCCCCCACCCCCCTCCCATCTCCCCCACACCCTCCATCTCCCACACCTCATCTCTCCCACACCTCATCTCTCCCCACCCTCATCTCCCCACCACTCATCTCCCACACCACTCCATCTCTCCACACCACTCATCTCTCCCACCTCATCCTCACCCACACCACCACTCATCTCTCCCACACACCCTCCACATCTCCCCACACACACCTCACATCTCCCACCCACCACTCATCTCTCCCACCTCATCTCTCACACCCTCATCTCTCACCTCCACATCTCCCCACACCACTCATCTCCACACCACTCATCTCTCCCACACACCTCTCTCCCACCTCCATCTCCCACACTACCATCTCTCTCCCACACACCCTCATCTCTCCCACACACACCACTCCATCTCTCCCACACCTCCCATCTCCCCCACACCTCATCTCCCACACCACTCATCTCTCTCCCACCCCCTCATCTCTCCCACCCCCACCCTCATCTCCCACACACCACTCATCTCTCCCACACACCACTCACATCTCCCACACACCACTCATCTCTCCCACACACCACTCATCTCTCCCACACACCACTCACATCTCCCACACACCACTCATCTCTCCCACACACCACTCATCTCTTCTTCTACCTTTTTATCCTCGCATTTGAGTCGTGTTTAGATTGGGTTCTCCTCCCCCTGCACGACCTTATAAAGAGAACTCCGCTTACTATATGTTTACCTTCACTGTCTCCAAGCTTACTCCACTCTACTCTACATAGGGGAATAATCACACCAGTACTTAAACCTCCATCTTTATTTCTAATCATGAATACATTAACTTGTAAATTTATAAGGATGAAGATTAATTAAGAAGTAAACAAAAACTACAGAAAAAAAGACAATTAAACTGAAAATCAAATGATATAATCAAGAACTCAAGAGAAATGTAATTAACCATAACTAATGAAAATCAAGACAAGAATAAATGATACACTGTATATTAGGATGTGTTCTGGCTTAGGTTAGGTTAGGTTAGGTTCTGACAGGTTTTCAATTTTCTTCTATAATCTAAGTGTAAATAAAAAAAAAACATACCTTCTCATTATCTTCTACATCACATCTAAATATAATAATATTTACCTAGAGTTGAGGTAATGTTAACTACTGTTCAATATTAGTCATTGAAAATTACTCCACCCCCCATTTTTTTTATATATATTTAAAGCTTACAATATATAGGTTTAATACTCATAGTACATTCATCACGCCACAATTTCTTCTATCAAATTAAAAATCGCCTTTACATAAGTAGGTCCATACTGGTCCTTGGGTTGATACCACACACACACACTGATTCTGAAGTAATTAGGTTTAAAAAATTGTTTACTTTGTTTATTATTTAGGTCACGAATGTATAGTAAACAAAGATGTATCCATAAACACATACAGGTAGAGATATACCTTAATTAGGAGACCAGGTGTGTATGCTGACGTACAGGTAAACAAACTTGGTACTTGTGTAATAGAATCGTTGGAATGATCGAATTTTTTTTTACTTGGGGTAATTTTATTTTTTATTTGTGGGAAGATGTAATTTGATTAGTAAAAACTGATTCGCTGAGCAGTTGAGATGTGGAACAGTTGAGATGTGGAACAGTTGAGATGTGGAACAGTTGAGATGTGGAACAGTTGAGATGTGGAACAGTTGGGATGAGGAACAGTTGAGATGTGGAACAGTTGAGATGTGGAACAGTTGAGATGAGGAACAGTTGAGATGTGGAACAGTTGAGATGAGGAACAGCTGAGATGTGGAACAGTTGAGACGTGGAACAGTTGAAATGAGGAACAGCTGAGATGTGAAACAGCTGATTGGTTGAATAAGTTGAGACGAGGAACAGCTGAGACGTGGAACAGCTGAGACGTGGAATAGCTAAGACGCGGAACAGCTAAGACGTGGAACAGCTGAGACGAGGAACAGCTGAGACGTGGAACAGCTGAGACGAGGAACAACTGAGATGCCGAACAGCTGAGACACGGAACAGCTGAGACGTGGAACAGCATGACATGCAGGAGGCGAGGCTTCAGGTTAAGCTTGAGCAACACAGTCCAGGAAGGTGATACCCTGTAGGAGACGCTGAAGTTATTGGAGTCTCTCTCTCTCTCTCTCTCTCTCTCTCTCTCTCTCTCTCTCTCTCTCTCTCTCTCTCTCTCTCTCTCTCTCTCTCTTCTTATTCTTAGGAGACGGACAACAACAGATTAAACGTACAAGAGAGACAACAAATTAAACAGTACAAGAGAACAACAAATTAAACGTACAAGAGAGAGAGACAACAATTAAACAGTACAAGAGAAGACAACAGATTAAACAGTACAAGAGAGAGACAACAGATTAAACGGTACAAGAGAGAGACAACAAATTAAACGTACAAGAGAGAACAACAGATTAAACAGTACAAGAGAGAGACAACAAAAACGGTACAAGAGAGACAACAGATTAAACGGTACAAGAGAGAGACAACAAATTAAACGGTACAAGAGAGAGACAACAGATTAAACGTACAAAGAGAGAGAGAACAAGAGAGAGACAACAAATTAAAGTACAAAGAAACAACAGATTAAGCAGTACAAGAGAGAGACAACAAATTAAACGGTACAAGAGAGAGACAACAGATTAAACGGTACAAGAGAGAGAGAAACAAATTAAACGGTACAAGAGAGAGAGAACAAATTAAACGGTACAAGAGAGAGACAACAGATTAAACGGTACAAGAGAGAGACAACAGATTAAACGGTACAAGAGAGAGAGAACAAATTAAACGGTACAAGAGAGAGACAACAAATTAAACGGTACAAGAGAGAGACAACAAATTAAACGGTACAAGAGAGAGACAACAAATTAAACGGTACAAGAGAGAGAGAACAAATTAAACGGTACAAGAGAGAGACAACAAATTAAACGGTACAAGAGAGAGACAACAAATTAAACGGTACAAGAGAGAGACAAATTAAACGGTAAAGAGAGAGACAACAGATTAAACGGTACAAGAGAGAGACAACAAATTAAACGGTACAAGAGAGAGACAACAAATTAAACGGTACAAGAGAGAGACAACAAATTAAACGGTACAAGAGAGAGACAACAAATTAAACGGTACAAGAGAGAGACAACAGATTAAACGGTACAAGAGAGAGACAACGGTACAAGAGAGAGACAACAAATTAAACGGTACAAGAGAGAGACAACAAATTAAACGGTACAAGAGAGAGACAACAGATTAAACGGTACAAGAGAGAGACAACAGATTAAACGGTACAAGAGAGAGAACAAATTAAACGGTACAAGAGAGAGACAACAAATTAAACGGTACAAGAGAGAGACAACAACGGTACAAGAGAGAGACAACAAATTAAACGGTACAAGAGAGAGAGACAACAAATTAAACGGTACAAGAGAGAGACAACAGATTAAACGGTACAAGAGAGAGACAACAGATTAAACGGTACAAGAGAGAGACAACAAATTAAACGGTACAAGAGAGAGACAATAGATTAAACGGTACAAGAGAGAGACAACAAATTAAACGGTACAAGAGAGAGACAATAGATTAAACGGTACAAGAGAGAGACAACAAATTAAACGGTACAAGAGAGAGACAACAAATTAAACGGTACAAGAGAGAGACAACAGATTAAACCAGTGGTTCTCAACCTGGGGGCCATGGCCCCCAAGGGAGCCACGGCAAGAATTTAGGGGAGCCACGGCGAGCTGTTATAAATTGTACGTTTCCAAATAATGTTGGGAATCTGAATTAAACAAAACTTGTATTACTTATTTTGACTTGGCAGAAGAGAATTTTCATTCTTTTTTTTTTCATTTTGTTTAATAATAACGACAATACAATTTTAATAATTACGTACTCTGGTGCCATTTTATTTTTATTTTTTACGGATTATTTAAGATTTCACAGGTCCAGTCCCTGTCTGTGAGACAGGCGCTGGACCGAGCTGCTGAACTAACTTGTTCAGTACGTGTCCGTGTGTCATCCCTTTGCAAGTGGTGATAAGACCGAATGATCTCAGTGGAGTGTATTGTCTCTGAACCATATATTGTGCTTGAGCTTGACTCAGCATAATATACTCGTAATTGGTGTTACATATTTTGTTTCATAATTCATGTGGTCGCTGCTTTACGTGGGTGAAATATTTGTGCACTTCCTTTATTAATTATTTCCATATTTATTGGTGCCATTGTTGTTCATACTCATTCTTTACTTATATAATCCTACCATTTTTAGTGCTAAATTGGTATGACTCACTAGTCTTCCAAGTTGGGCAGTGCTTGTCAAAGGAGGCGTGTTCTTGCTTACAGGAAGTACACTTCAGCTTGCTTGCTTAAGTGTGGATGTTTACCTGTGTGCATGTTTGTGTATGACTGTATGTGTGCTTTATGTGTGAGTGTATGGGCGTGTTATGTATGTGAATGTGTGTGCGTGTTTGCCATTCTAACTCTTGTCCTATTTATCTGTCCTTCTTTATCATTCTTTAGTCTTTATCACTTGTCTGTTTGTCTGTTCTGGGAGAAAAATGAAGGAGGCCACGAGGATGTTGAAAATCCCTCAAGGGGGGAATGGAGTGAAAAAGGTTGAGAACCACTGGATTAAACGGTACAAGAGAGAGACAGCAAATTAAACGGTACAAGAGACAAACAACAACAGATTAAACGGTACAAGAGACAACAACAGATTAAACCTGTACAAGAGAGAGACAGCAAATTAAACGGTACAGGAGAGAGAACAACAGATTAAACGGTACAGGAGAGAGAACAACAGATTAAACGGTACAGGAGAGAGAACAACAGATTAAACGGTACAGGAGAGAGAACTCACCTTGTTGGTTTCGTTCTGTAAACATCTTTCCATCTGCCTGCCAGCTGCCACCTCCCCTGCTTTACCTGTGTGTATGTGTGTGTGTGTGTGTGTATAATGGAGAGATATAATTATACCTGCTTCTGCAACATTATATTGGTTATATTAACTACATCTAGAGATATACTGAATATATTAGATATATCCATGTGTTTATACTTAAGACTCCTGAGTATACCATGTGAGGCTACAGAGGAAGATATACCATGTGAGGCTACAGGAGGAGGTATACCATGTGAGGCTACAGGAGGAGGTATACCATGTGAGGCTACAGAGGGAGATATACGATGTGGGGCTGCAGGAGATATACCATGTGAGGCTAGAGAGGAAGATATACCATGTGAGGCTACAGGAGTTATACTATGTGAGGCTACAGAGGAAGATATACCATGTGAGGCTACAGGAGGAGGTATACCATGTGAGGCTACAGAGGGAGAGTGATAACTATACCATGTGAGGCTACAGGAGTTATACTATGTGAGGCTACAGAGGAAGATATACCATGTGAGGCTACAGGAGGAGATATACCATGTGAGGCTACAGAGGGAGATATACTATGTGAGGCTACAGGAGTTATACTATGTGAGGCTACGTGAGTTATACTATGTGAGGCTACAGGAGTTATTCCACGTGAGGCTAGAGAGGGAGATATACTACGTGAGGCTACAGGAGTTATACCATGTGAGGCTAGAGAGGAAGATATACCATGTGAGGCTACAGGAGTTATACTATGTGAGGCTACAGAGGAAGATATACCATGTGAGGCTACAGGAGGAGATATACCATGTGAGGCTACAGAGGGAGATATACTATGTGAGGCTACAGGAGTTATACTATGTGAGGCTACGTGAGTTATACTATGTGAGGCTACAGGAGTTATTCCACGTGAGGCTAGAGAGGGAGATATACTACGTGAGGCTACAGGAGTTATACCATAAGAACATAAGAACATAAGAATGGAAAAAACTGCAGCGGACCTATTGGCCCATATTGGGCAGTCCCGTTTACACCCAACCCCTATTGCTCATATATCCATCCAACCTATGTTTGAAGCTATCCAGCGTATCCGAGTTAATGATGATGTTTGGTAACTTGTTCCACTCATCCACTACTCTATTTCCAAACCAATGTTTACCTATTTCGCGCCTAAATCTAAATTTGTCTAATTTAAAACCATTGTTACGAGTTCGCTCCTGGTTGGATAGTTTGAGTACCTTTGTAATGTCCCCTTTGTTTAGCCTTGACTTCCATTTATACACCTCTGTCATATCGCCCCTCACTCTACGTGTCTCGAGGGAGTGCAAATTAAGATGCTTTAACCTCTCTCTGTACTCAAGGTTCCTAATGCCCGGGATTAGTCTTGTCATTCTCCTTTGAATTCTTTCCAAGGATTCTATATCCATTCTGTAATACGGTGACCAGAATTGAACTGCGTAAACTCAAGATATAGTTTTAAGGTGACCTCGCTAGTCTTGTAACTAACACTCCTTTGTATGAATCCAAGTACCTTATTAGCTTTGTTTCGAGCAAATACACATTGTTTACTTGGCTTAAGATTCCTACTTATCATTACTCCTAAATCTCTCTCGCAGTCGGATTTCTCAATAACATCGTTGTTCATCTGGTATCTGGTTTCCCTGTTTGCACCTCCTATACTGAGTACTTTGCATTTGTCCACATTGAATTTCATCTGCCATTTTTCAGACCATTCGAAAAATTTGTTTAGATATTCCTGTAGTTTTGCGGAGTCCTCGTCAGATTTAATTACACGTCCTATTTTAGTGTCATCAGCAAATTTACTTATGTTGCTGTCTATGCCGATATCTATGTCGTTTATGTATATAATAAATAATAATGGTCCAAGTACTAAGCCTTGCGGAACTCCACTAGTGACGTTGCTCCAATGGGATTTAGTGCCGTTAATGCTCACTCGCTGTTTTCTGTCCTGTAACCACGCCCTAATCCATTTTAGAATATCACCTTTAATGCCATGAGCCTCCACTTTTCTTATTAGTCTTTCGTGGGGGACTCTGTCAAAGGCTTTGCCAAAGTCGAGATATTCCACCTCATAATTGTGCCCCTCGTCCACTGATTCGAAAACTGATGAAAAGAATGTTAATAGATTAGTTAGACATGAACGCTCGCTTGTGAAGCCATGTTGGGAATCATTGATCAACTTGTGCTTCTCCAGGTGATTTCGAATAGAGTTTGAAATGATTGCTTCCAGTAATTTGCCTACAATTGATATTAGACTGATTGGACGGTAGTTAGAGGATAGTGATCTATCTCCCTTCTTGAGAATCGGTATTACATTCGCTATTCTCCAGGATTCTGGTACTACACCTGCTTTTAAGGACATGTTAAACAACTTTGCTAAAGGCATACTAAGCTCTTCCTTACATTCCTTTAATACTCTGGCAAATACAGGCGATATACCATGTGAGGCTACAGGAGTTATACCACGTGAGGCTACAGGAGGAGGTATACCATGTGGGGCTACAGGAGATATACCATGTGAGGCTACAGGAGTTATACCACGTGAGGCTACAGGAGGAGGTATACCATGTGGGGCTACAGGAGATATACCATGTGAGGCTACAGGAGTTATACCATGTGAAACTTACCGGGGTTGGTGTAGAGGGCAGCAGCGACCAGACTCCTACACTGAGTGAAGGCCACCAACACCTCGCTTGCCTCCCGCTGGTCTCTGAAGCAGGCGCTGACGGTGTGGGCCACGCACTTCTCCTCCCACACACACACCACTCGTGCTGCCGTGCCCACGTCCATGCACCACCACACACGTCGTCAACAGCACACACGTCGTCAGCAGCACACACGTCGTCAGCAGCACACACGTCGTCAGCAGCACACACGTCGTCAGCAGCACACGCGTCGTCAGCAGCACACGCGTCGTCAGCAGCACACACGTCGTCAGCAGCACACACGTCGTCAGCATCAGAACGAAGAGGATGAAAGGAAAACAGGAGCATCATAACATCAGTGGTGAACCTTTGCTCGTCCCTCCTACAGGATACTTCTGCAGGAGCGACAGGAAGGTAGTAACTTACCAGGTGTCCTCAAAACTCAACTACCATACCAAATACCTAATACCTGCTTCGTGTCTTGAGGTTAGGACACATCACCCTGTATGGATGTTCTTCACAACAGTTCAAATTAGTTATGTCCCAAACTTAAGTCCCTGGGTGTAAGAAAATTAGAATACGTGTACAGGCTGTCAACACACACACACACACACACACACACACACACACACACACACACACACACACACACACACACACTACTTTACTCTCATAATTAAAACGCTAAAGGTACCAATCATAGCTTAACCAAACCGAACTTTTATATTCAGATTCCTAACCTAACCTAACCTAACCTAACCCAACCCACTTATTTAAGCCAGGGTCGACTTAACCGGGATGACATCACAGCAGACAATGGCACTGTGTCACACGTCCCCAGCAGTGCCACTCACCTAGCCAGTCCCCAGCAGTGCCACTCACATAGCCAGTCCCCCAGCAGTGCCACTCACCTAGCCAGTCCCCAGCAGTGCCACTCACCTAGCCAGTCCCCAGCAGTGCCACTCACCTAGCCAGTCCCCAGCAGTGCCACTCACCTAGCATTTGTTGCAGCGCCACTGTCAGATTATTCACTAGTCCCCCAGTCAGCTGAGGACGGGCGAGGGCGGCACCCAGCAGCAGTGTGGCCGTCACCAGCACCACAGACAACACCCTCATGATGCTGCAGGTTACCAGGGCGCTGCCAGAGGGACGTCACCTGCGGGAGGAGTGGGTGAAGGAGGGAGTGAGTGGTCCCGGTACTCAAGGGTGATCACGCTCAAGTCAGTGCGAGTCGTGTGTAGTGACGTCACGAACACCTGTAGGTCAGAGGTGAAGACGTCACGAACACCTGTAGGTCAGAGGTGAAGACGTCACGAACACCTGTAGGTCAGAGGTGAAGACGTCACGAACACCTGTAGGTCAGAGGTGATGACGTCACGAACACCTGTAGGTCAGAGCTGATGACGTCACGAACACATGTAGGTCAGAGGTGAAGACATCACGAACACCTGTAGGTCAGAGGTGATGACGTCCCGAACAGCTGTAGGTCAGAGGTGATGACGTCCCGAACAGCTGTAGGTCAGAGGTGAAGACGTCACGAACACCTGTAAGCCAGAGGTGAAGAGGTTCGAACACCTCACCTGTGGAAGCGTAAGGACAGGTCTGGAGGACAGGTGAGAGAGACACCGTATTTATTCACCCCGCACCACGACCCACCACCCACCGCGACCCACCACCCCACCGTGACCCAACCCCCCCAAAAAAAAAAAAAAAACGTGACCCACCACCGTTACCCACAACAACTTCAGGATTATTTATTTTGTATTTTTTTTAGGAATCGAAACATTATTTTTTCTTATTCTGCCATGCTCAGACACACAAACACACACACACACACACACACACACCGGTATCACGCCTGTACCTGTGTGTGTGTGAGTCAATGTGAGGAAGTGTGAGTGAGTGAGTGTGAGGAAGTATGAGTGAGTTAGTTCGTGATGGCCAACACTGAAATATGAGGATCATTTCTTTGGTAGAGCTTGTGTGTCAGTCAGTCAGTCAGTCTGTCAGGTCAGTCAGTTCAGTCAATTAGTCAATCAGTCAGTTAGGTCAGTCAGTCAGTCTCGGTGTTAACTTTCAAGGAAATAAATCCTTCCCCTCCACTGCAGTTTCCTCTATGCTTATGTTCTTAACCTAACCTAACCTATCCCAAGCTAAGTTGACCTCACCTAACTTTTAACATATAACACATAACCTAACCTAACCTAACCCAACTCACAGTAAGCTAAGCTGGTCTGGTTAATCTTCAGGTGATACAAACATTAATGATCTGAGACACTGGGGACGAATAGATAAACAGTGTATTGTGGCAAAATTCAACTAACATACTTGACACCTGACACTGGACACATGACGCTTGATACCTGACAGCTGACACTTGGCACTGGACGCCTGACGCTGGACACCTGACACTGGACACCTGACACTGGACACCTGACACTGGACACCTGACACTGGACACCTGACACTAGACACCTGACACTGGACACATGACGCTTGATACCTGACAGCTGACACTTGGCACTGGACGCCTGACGCTTGACACCTGAAACTTTACACTGGACACCTGACACTGGACACCTGACACTGGACACCTGATCCTGGACACCTGACACTTGATACCTGACACTGGACACCTGACACTTGATACCTGACACACTCCCCAGGTGGTCACTTCTACAACACTTCTCTTCAACCAACAAATAATTTTCACGTCTTTATTCACATCCTCTCGTGATGGACGCAGGAAGGTGGCAGGTTATTACAGTGGGAGGAACAGTACAGGAAACAGTGGTCACATCAAACTAGGTAAACTATTTGGGTTGTCAGTCTTGTATGATGACACCTGGTGTTTACAGACGTGAAGCATAACATGAGGACGGACGCCAGTATAGGTATATGTGTGTTTAGGTGTTGGTTATACATCAGCTGCCACTACAAATACTCTACGTCATCCAATGCTTTGTAGTTATATCTTTCTTGGGAGTATAGTCACTACCTTCATCATGACAAGCCATAAAACTCGGCAGAACTGCAGGTGCATTGGAGGTGAACTGTGGAATCGGTCGTTAATTCCAGTAGGTGCTTGAGACTCTTAAGAACATAAGAATGGAGGAAACTGCAGCGGGCCTATTGGCAGTCCCATTTACCCCCAACCCCTATCGCTCATATATCCACCCAACCTATGTTTGAAGCTATCCAGCGTAATCGAGTAAATGATGATATTCGGTAACTTGTTCCACTCGTCCACTACTCTATTTCTCAACCAATGTTTACCTATTTCGCGCCTAAATCTAAATTTATCTAATTTAAAGCCACTGTTACGAGTTCGCTCCTACTTGGATAATTTGAGTACCTTTGTTATATCACCTTTGTTTAGCCTTGACTTCCATTTATACACCTCGATCATATCGCCCCTCACTCTACGTCTCTCGAAGGCGTGCAAATTAAGATGTTTTAACCTGTCTCTGTACTCAAGGTTCCTAATGCCCGGAATTAGTCTTGTCATTGTCCTCTGAATTCTTTCTCGGGATTCTATATCCATTCTGTAATACGGTGGCCACAATAAATGCACCAACTTCTATGTCACAAATAATGTTTCTCCTTGAGAATGTGTAATGTGGTGTGGCTTACTCCGGTCCACTTGGTCTGATCACCAGGTGTCTTCACGACCACTCGAGGTGTTAATAGTCACTCCTGGTGTACTTGTAGGCACCACACACTTTTAACGTGAAAATAATTTATATAACTTAGAGAAGAGAGAGAAGCCCTTGAAAGGTGGTACATTTCTACTGTTAACTCCCAACACTGTATCGCCTCCCATAGGTCCTACAACCACTGTTTCTTGGTGTTAATATTTTGAGCAAGTCACTATTTTTCAGTGAAAACATAATGGGCGGGTAAATACTTGTAGATCATAATTTAGGGAGATAAATTCACTGAAGATGTATTCAAGAATTTAAGACGTGAAGGTCACTGCTCACGCTCACCCCAGCAGAATGTTACCAAAGTTGTGGTAAGGTGAGGTTTAAGACTGTTAAATAGTAGAATTTATTAAATTAATAAAATGTAATTTTAACCCAATGAGAAACAATTTCAGTTAAGTGAAAATCTTTTGTATTTACTGGTCACTTTTGAAGGCGCAGTGCAGCCTGAAGTGACGTGTGCAAGGTACTGTGCAAAGTAGAGGTCCACCACTCCCCCATAGAGCTTTATAGTAACCGAGAAAACACCTGAGCTTTTGTTGAAGTTTTCTCATTGTATGATACACTCATCAGCGACTTGTTCAGTGTGCTGATTAGCTGGTCATGGATACGTCACTTGGTAGTTTGTTGTGTAGCGTTAGGCAGGGTTAGGTGGGTAAATAATAACAGGTTTTTGTTTTCATGTATTTCCATGAAGTCATAAGTTTGCTAGACAGTAGTTAGTAGTGTGTATAAAAAAATATGTGGCGCTACAAAAAGTAAAGCCTTGGCATTATATATGTTCTTTGTATTTTTCATTTGAGTTTTTTTTTCCTTAAAACCAATTTTCACATCCAGTCCTGAATTGTCAAGACTGGGAAACTCCATCTTAAATCCTATTTCATATAAAAATCATATAAAGTGTTCTACCATTGGCCACTTTTTGTTGACACAGGAAATGTGGATTTATGTATTTTATTTTATTTATTTATTTATTTTGTTTTTTGTTTTTTTTTGTGGGGGGGGGGGGGAGATTTAAGTTGTGTATTTTTTATAAATTGTCCTGTAATTGTTAATGTGTCTCTAAATGTCAACATATTCGTAGGTTTTTAGATTTTGTTGTAAAATTGCTTTGGGTTATTAAGTGTTTTATCTGACAGCCTAATACCATAATAGACGATAAAGTGACTCCGTTTGGCTACTGGGGTGTAATAAACAGCTCTTTGTTTTGTTATTTAAGTTCTTATATAATCTAGGTTCCCACCACCAAGACCATATATCTTCGTTATCACAGAGCCCCACAAGACACGCTCGTTAAACTTAATTAGGATATGGCAAACTGTATATTAGTTGGGGACAGTTTTATATACTGGTCACTCAACTGTATCTTGTGTTTGTTTAAATTAGCTGAGGTAAAGTTAGCAGCAAGCACAGTTAGTTACTCAACCTAGATCTCTCCTAAGACGCCTTACACTAATTTTTGGTTCCAGGGAGCTGCTAACGATTGAAGTCTGTTGTATATTTCATAATTTGTATTGTTTATTTTATATTTATGGCAACACCAATTTATTACTTTTTCTCCCGTAAATTTAGATCAGAAAAACGATCTCATAATAATGCTTATGTGTGCTGGAGGCCTGAGGAACAAAGGGGCGGGGCTAAGTAAAAATTTTTACCAACTAGGATTTTCATCGACCTGTCCCATGTTACCTTGGGTGTGTGAGCCTCAGCCCGGATGCTTCCCTCAGTGTGTGTGCATACAAGACCACCCACAGTTTGAGATCTGAAGTTATTTGTTTGTGTTAGGTATTTTTGTCGGTGGCCAAGCATAGTAGAACACTGTTACAAAATTCAGGCAACGAGACCATAGCGTGCTGGGGGGACACACTCTGTCTACATCACCCGAACCTTTGTCAGTGTAGCCGTTCTCGAGTCCATTCTCAAGGATTCCGACTTGGACTTTTAACACGAAAGACACAGACATTGACTTGGACTCTGTCATAATGAACTTAATGACTGGAATAAAGTCCGTCTCGAATCCAACTGAATTTATCACCTGCAAAGATGGTGGATTTTTCGAGGTTACGATTAACAATATTCAAATACCTGAGACAATTTACGTCACAAGGAGGAACACCTGACACCTGCAGCTGATGAACACCTGACACCTACAGCTGATAAACACCAACCACCTGACACCTGCAGCTGATGAACACCAAACACCTTGGTCATGGCGGAAGACGACCCTTTGACTGTTCACCTGTCCTGAAGTACAAACACCTCATGGCCACCAGAGTACAAACACCTCATGGCCACCAGAGTACAAACACCTCATGGCCACCAGAGTACCGACCCTTCCCGACACACTCACTTACCTGTTGTTCTTATAAGACATAATTAATTTCCTCACACCTGATATTTATCAAGTAACGTCAAGTCTTCCTAGTGACGTAATTCTTGTTGTTTACGGTTTAGTGCCCACCTTTATGACGTAAGAGTTTTGTGATTGGATGTAATGTGGGAGTTTCCTCTGTGGTAGCCAATCACAAGCCAAGACGAGAGAAAGGGGGCGGAACTTGATCTTAATAAAAAATAATAATAATATCATTATTATTAAACGGTTTATTTATAGAGTTGCAGCCGGTGGCTGAAAATATACAAACTTACATTTGATTTAGACATCTTTTGCATGTATGAATGTGTGAGAAATATATTGTGAAACAAAAAGAGAGAGAGAGAGAGAGAGAGAGAGAGAGAGAGAGAGAGAGAGAGAGAGAGAGAGAGAAAACTAAAAACAACAGCATGGAGAACTAGAATGAAAAAAATTGACGAAGACACAGAAAGGAGAAAGAAGAATAAGATATAAGAATGAAAGATAATGGATAGAATTAATGAAAGAGGATAAGACAGAAGATTAAGAAACAAAAACAAATCAACAACAGCGTACTTTTGTTTACCTTAAGTATATTCACCTAATGGCTACAACAACGGGTACAGTGAATGATACAGATACAGTGAGAAGATACCAACCAATACAGATACAAGTACAGGTACAGACACAGGTGAAAAAACGAGATATCTGAAGACTTTACAACTTGACAACAACACTGACTGAGCGATAAGAGAAGCTACGTTGATTTAGTGTCAGTTTATGATGTGTAAATTAACCCATCCAGTACACCCGCAGCTTGACCCAACACCCCCACAACAGCAGATGACGTGAGGGGGAGGGGGGGGAGATTTAACTACGATCCTTTGAAAATTCGTTCCTAGATATAACCTGTAGTTGAGGTAGAAGATAATATGCCCTTGATGACGTGTTCTTGTTGTTGTTTTGGTATGTTTGTTATGTAAACTCTCCGGATACACGGCTTTTTGTCTCTGTCTCACGGCTTTTGTCTCTTGTCACGGTTTTTTTTTCCTTGTGTCATGGGTGTAGTGGACCACAGTGGCTTTCGTCTGTGTTCTCTTACACACAGAGGAACTTTGTGAGGAATCATGGTGTGTGGCAGTGAACACCGGGACCACGAGCGGTATGTGTGCCAGAGGTTCCCCAGCTGCCAAGGACGACACTGTCAGCTGTGTCATTTCTTGTATGTATGTATGTATGTATGTATGTATGTATGTATGTAGAGACGACAAAGACTTTTCTAAGACTGTATTACCTCAATGCCTCCTCACCCCCACCCTCCTCACCCCCACCCTCCTCACCCCCACCTTCCTCACCCCCACCCTCCTCACCTCCAACCCTTGGCTTCAGATGTTTGGATTAACGGGGAGCTGGTGACTGAAGGTGGAAAGGTCCTGACCATGGTGCAGTGTGACCATGGTGTAGTGTGGCCATGGTGTAATGTGGCCATGGTGTAGTGTGTCCATGGTGTAATGTGGCCATGGTGTAATGTCTCCAGGGTGTATTGTGGCCATGGTATAGTATGATCATGGTGTAGCGTGGCCATGGTGTAGTTAGGCCATGGTGTAGTGTAGCCATGATGTTGCGTGGCCATGATTTGGTTTGGCCATGGTGTAGCGTGGCCGCGGTGTAGTGAGGCCCTGGTGTAGCGTAGCCATAGTGTAGTGTGGCCATGGTGTAGTGTGGCCATGATGTGGTTTGGCCATGGTGTAGCGTGGTTTCGGTGTAGTGAGGCCCTGGTGTAGCGTGGCCGCTGTGTAGTGAGGCCATGGTGTAGTGTGGCCATGGACGTTTACCTGCAGATGATGGCAATTTGCTCCACCAATGGTCACCAGTGAGACCCTTGTATTATACCAGTGAACGGAATTCCTTTCGTGCCAAACTGTGATCAACTGGTACACGTATTATTTCAAGGCGGAAAATATAAAAAAAAGACTTGTTTTTTGTCGGGTAGGTCGGTCCAGTGCTCTGAAACAGTAAGGTGTTTTATGGCGTGTAGCAACGTGAAGCATTCGACGAACACTGGACGCACCTGAAACGTCGGGGAAGCGCTACACTACGCCACTATGACGCAGTAACCGGTAATGACAACCGCCACTACAAAGAGTATCAATCCCTGACCTGGTCCAAACAGATTGTGTACACGAGACTGCACCTAAGGTACAGGTACCTATGAGAGTACATTGGCACCTTTGAGTCTGGCCGCACTATTTGTAAACTTTACGGTCAACCCGATTCTCACACCCTCTCTCACTACATCCTCACTTACCCAATGACCTCTTCCTACAGGTCCCCAGCCGATACCAACACCTCGTTCCAACCTGACCAATTATCCCTCCTCTTAGAGACATAGTTAGGGACCTGCCACGCTTTGCTATGAACAGATGAATTGTACCGGCTATGAACAGATGAATTGTACCGGAAACCCCCCCCCCCCCACCATACACACACTAATCACTCTGTCACTAAGTATGTAACTTGCTGACAAGACCCATGGCTCTTCAGGTAATTGCGTCCTTAATGCATGAGTCACGAAAGCAAGCATGAACTTCGCATGCTTCCTGGATGGGTGCTGGTAACGCTTTTGCGCATCGCCTTGCACAGGATGCGAGGTTGTGCCCAGTGAACTGGCCCCCTCGCGGGGCAAATCTGAAATCTAGTAGACTGTGTATTTGGCTAGCTGTCTAATTATTTCTAGTGTGTCTAGTTGTATTTGTCTTTGTTTCTGACACACACACACACACACACACACACACACACACACACACACAGGTAGTTAATATAACAGTTATCGTTTTCCCCCCTGGCAGATGCGTTGACGTGGACGAGTGTGCAGTGTTTCGGCCGTGTTCACAGCTGTGTGAGAACATCGAAGGCGGCTTCAGATGTACCTGTGTTGAGGGATACTCCCTGAGACCCGACCTGTTCACCTGTAAGGCACAAGGACCTGTACCTACCCTCATCTTCGCTAACAGGGGAGACATACGCCAGGTAAGATCATATTTTTACCTGATAATTCGCTAAATTAGTCGAGTTCCTGTGATTAATTTATCTTTCATTTACTGATGGACTACCGTGAGATGGTGCTCTCTCAAGTTTGGTGTGAGTTAGCTGTTGTAAAGCCTACATTATATTAGAGTGTGTTGGGAAGCGTAGAGCCTATATTAGAGTGTGTTGGGAGGAGTAGAGTCTATATTAGAGTGTGTTGGGAGGAGTAGAGTCTATATTAGAGTGTGTTGGGAGGAGTAGAGCCTATATTAGAGTGTGTTGGGAGGTGTAGAGCCTACATTGGAGTGTGATGGAAGGAGTAGAGCCTATATTAGAGTGTCGCGGGAGGAGTAATGCCTATATTAGGGTGTGTTGGGAAGAGTAGGATTACGTTCAAGGCTGTAAGATGTGCCCCCCGTCCCCACTAGTACGAGAGAGAGAGAGAGAGAGAGAGAGAGAGAGAGAGAGAGAGAGAGAGAGAGAGAGAGAGAGAGAGAGAGAGAGAGGCAATATGTCTGGCCGCACATTTTGTTATTCACCTTTTGACTAAACACCTTGACAGCAAATGTGGGGAAGATTAGGTTAAGGTGGTTAATCATTAAGGTGAAATAAACTAGAGATTGGATGTAGAGAGAATAAAGGAGTAATGGTGGAAGCTTTTAGAGCGTATCTGTAGAAGGTCAACATGAACACCGGCAGCAGCAGCAGCAGCGTGTTTCAGATAAATCACTGTGGAAACGCACCGTTTACTAGGCCACTTTCCGCCTCAGGGAGAACGGCCGTGATCAGGACAAAAAGAAACGACAGGGGATGTCCCTCCCCTGGTACACCACCAGGCGTCCCTCCCCTGGTACACCACCAGGCGTCCCTCCCCTGGTACACCACCAGGCGTCCCTCCCCTGGTACACCACCAGACGACAACGAACATGCTTCACGTTGCAATGCTACATCATTAACACAACACAAGATGGCAGCTGTGTGTGTTGTTTACCATCGGAGGTCAAGCGTGTGTTGGTGATAAATTCTTAATCAATATTTGTTAGTTGACAGATTTTCGCTTAAAAATTTATTTCGGCATATATTTTTTTTTTCATTCTAATATGGTAAAATAAAATATATTCTAGTAGGTGAGGATACTACGGGTTCTCAGTCGCCCACTAGTAACTGGCTAGTGAAGACGGTCTGGCCCAAACCTCACGGTGGACGGATGGGCGATAACCAGTGTTATCGCCCGACCCAGCGGTATCGGTGACTTGTGTTAAGAGATGCGGAAAGAAGAAGGAAAATACAAAAATGATGATAATGTTGGAGAGTGCTGACCAGAGTGCATTATGGTGTTGTGTAAATATGGAAAGAGTGGGAATTGAAAGATTGGTGGTGACAAGGACAAACCCGAGCAACGCCAGGTACTCCAGCTTGTGTATATTATCTGTATAAGTTGTAGTATTGTCGTAAACTTAACACTTTTATTATTTACATATCATAACTATATCCTGTAATGGAATCGCTTTTATGTCATATACACTTTATTATTATTATTATTATTATTATTATTAACGCGTTTTATTTCATTTGTATTTCTATGGGTAATGATGACAAGCGGCAGCAGACTGTACAGGACACGTTACCATTATACTCTCGCGTTTTCAGATCAGCATCGACGGGAAGGAGTACTCTAGCGTGGCGGCCGGGCTACAGAACGCTATATCCATCGACTACCATTACTACCTCAACCTTGTGTTCTGGACCGACGTCTCCCTCGACACTATCATGAGGGGTTATCTTAACGGGTCGGGAGAAACAGGTCAGTAGTCTCCACCACATCCTTCCATTAGATACGTGTAAAAGCCTAAGTGTAAACAGAGAAGAGCTTTGATTATTTATTTATTCATTTACATGGGGTCTAGTCTCTCACAAAAAGGAATCTACTTTAATAGCGTATAAGAGTCACCTAAAATAAATAAACGATATAATTATGTAAACGATACTTTTTCAGATTTACAATGACATTCTTTCACGTCTTGTAGTGTTAGGTTTGGTTAGGTTAGGTTAGGTTAGGTTAGGTTTGGTTCCCTCTCTATTACTCTTTTTTTTATAATTCTGTTTTATTTTATACATTATTTTGTTTTTCTTTTATCATCTGTTGTATTATTGTTGTGAATCAGATTATTTACGTGTTGTCCGTATGTGTGTTCGTCCTTCATTCTAAAGCCTCTCACTGCCTCACCTCTCATTGCTTCACCCCTCACCCTCACCACCTATAGTATCAGCCCCCTCCTCAAACCTCACCACCACCAGCTACCAAACAGGGAGGTACTACCGTTTGGGAAGATATAGGAAGCATAATGTATTGTTTAATGGTAGACCCTGCTTCCATATGTGACCAAGTCCCAGGTTGCTCATCTGACTTTCTGCCTCATTTACCCACAATTGCAGGGTCTCAATTGTTTCTCTTACTATTGACAACACAACATACACCTCTACCTCCCTCACCACCACCACCTCCCTCACCACCACCACCACCTCCCTCACCACCACCACCCACCTCCCTCCACCACCACCCACCACCACCTCCCTCACCACCACCACCACCACCCTACCACCTCCTCACCACCACCACCTCCCTCCCACCACCACCATCACACTCACCACCACCTCCCTCCCACCACCACCACCTCCCTCACCACCACCACCTCCCTCACCACCACCACCTCCCTCCACCACCACCACCTCCCCTCCACCACCTCCCCTCACCACCTCCACCTCCCTCCCCACCACCACCACCTCCCTCCCCACCACCACCACCTCCCTCACCACCACCACCTCCCTCACCACCTCTACCTCTCACACAGCTATCGTGAGGTGGGGACTGAGGATGCCCAGCGGTATAGCAGTGGATTGGGTTAACGATCACGTGTATTGGCTGGACAGCATGACGTACAGGATTGAAGTAGCTCATCTGGACGGGTCAGTGAATACCTTATGTCGTGTTGTGGTCGTGAGATTATAGTCTTAATAGCTCCTAATACTCTTCTTGTTGTTTGTAAATTACTCTATATAAACCTTGTAATTATATTGTTTATTAATGTTATTTACTGGAAGTATGTTAGTTATGTGCTGTTTCTCCACTCCAGTATATTTCACCTCAAGATTAACCACGCTTACCTAACCTAACCCTAACCTAACCTAACGCTAACCTAACCTAACCTAACGCTACCCTAACCTGACCTAACGCTACCCTAACCTGACCTAACCTATCCTAACCTCATCCCCCAAATAGTGTTAGGGTGGTTAATTTTTACGTGAAATACGCTGGGGTGGAGATTCTTCAGGTGATCCAGTTGTTTAATTACAGGTATCATTACATGGAGTTTGTGTGTGTATGTGTGTGTGTTTGTGTGTTAGTTATCACGTTGTGTGTGTGTGTGTGTGTTATTTATCACGTGTGTGTGTGTGTTTGTAAGTGTAAAGAAACCGGTGCAAGAACCAGGTATGTGTGCGTACAGAATCAGGTGTAAAATACAGGTGTGTGTACAGAAACAGGTGTAAGAGACAGGTGTGTGTGTGTACAGAAACAGGTGTAAAATACAGTTGTGTGAACAGAAACAGGTGTAAAAACAGGTGTGTGTGTGTGTGTGTGTGTGTGTACAGAAACAGGTGTAAAAGACAGGTGTGTGTGTGTGTGTGTGTGTGTGTGTGTGTGTGTGTGTGTGTGTGTGTGTGTGTGTGTGTGTGTGTGTGTGTGTGTGTGTGTGTGTGTGTAAAACAGGTGTGTGTGTGAGAGCAGGTGTAAGATAAATGTGTGTGTGTGTGTGTGTGTAGAAACAGGTGTGTGTGTGTGTGTATGTATACAGAAACACAGATGTAAGAACCAGGTGTTTACTACAGGTCGTGTCGGCGGCCGCTGGTGTGGACCAACTTACAGAAGCCCCGCGCCTTACTGCTGCACCCCGCCAGAGAACTCCTCATCTGGACAGACTGGGGTGAGTTGGGCTATGGCTGTCAGGGTGACGGAGGGAGAGAGGGAAGAGGTGAAGGTAGGGAGGGGGGGAAGGGGTTAAGGTAGGGAGGGAGGGAAAGGGGTGAAGGTAGGGGGAAGGGAAGGGGTGGAGGTAGGAAGGTATGGGAAGGGGTGGAGGTAGGAAGGTATGGGAAGGGGTTAAGGTAGGGAGGGAGGGAAAGGGGTGAAGGTAGGGAGGGAGGGAAGGGTAAGATAGAAGAACGGAGTGAGAAAGGGAAAGAAGGAGGAAGATAAGTAAAGAAGGAAAAGAATGAGGGAAAGAGTGAGAGAAGGATGGGTTGAGGAGGAGGGAATGAGAGGGAGGGAAAGAGGGAAGCAAGCAGGAAATGGGTGAGGGACGTAGGGGAGAGAGGAGGCTAGGAATGGACAAGAAATGCGATAAAGAAGAAAGTGACATAGGAAGAGAGAAGTAGAGAAGAAAAATCATCTATGTCTCTACTCTAATGTGTTCTGCAGTTTCAGATGTCATAAAACCCATCAATCATGTTCAGTGTTCAAGATTTACACAAGTTAGTCATCTTCACCTTCAATATTAACGTATATGATTCACCTTCATCAACCAAACCTAATATCGATGCACATTTCTCTTACGACGTGTGTGTGTGTTGACGTGGTTGTGTTGGTTGGCGTGTCTCAGGAACGAACCCAAGGATTGAGCGAGCTTACTTGGACGGGTCGGAGCGGCAGGTGATCATCGGGGAAGAATTGTACTGGCCCAACGGCATCACCATCGACTACCCCACCGAGACGCTCTACTGGGTGGACGCCAAACAACAGGCGATAGAGGCTGCCCAGATCGACGGTACTAACAGAAGAAAGGTGGGTGTGTTGGGGCGTAGTGAGTGTGTGTTGTGGGGTAGTGGAGTGCGTGGGAGTGTGTTAGGGCGTAGTGAGCTTGTAGGAGTGTGTTGGGGTGTAGTGGAGTGTGTGGGGGTGTGTTAGGATGTGTTGGACTGTGGTTGTCACCCTTACGAATCAATCTTAGTGTCACCCTTATGGACCAATCTTAGTGTCACCCTTATGGACCAATCTTAGTGTCACCCTTATGGACCAATCTTAGTGCCACCCTTATGGACCAATCTTAGTGCCACCCTTATGGACCAATCTTAGTGTCACCCTTATGGACCAATCTTAGTGTCACCCTTATGGACCAATCTTAGTGTCACCCTTATGGACCAATCTTAGTGCCACCCTTATGGACCAATCTTAGTGCCACTCTGTCTCCTCAACACAAGAAATCGGTTACAAAACTTTACATTATCATTGATTTCTTCTCTCAAACTATTGGTCGAAATTACACTTGAAACTTTTCAATAAATGTAACAAAATGAAATTGTATCAAAAGTTCTCACCATAATTAATTAAAACTATTTAAACTTACGTAACCTAACCTAACCTCTCTCTCTGATACAGATACTGGGAGGACTGCCACACCCCTTCGCCATCACGGTGTTCGAGGACTACCTCTACTGGACCGACTGGCGCACTCGCTCCATCCACACCGTCAATAAACGCACGGGCAAGGGACACACTGACATCCACAAGAGACTTGCCTTCCCCATGGACATCCACTGGTGAGTAATAAAAGGCTCTACCCAGGTATACACACCTATAACGCCTTAATTATATATTGATTAGTGTCTTTGAAACGTTTAACTGCCTGGAGATTTTATTCAGCTCACTTGGCCAATAGGTAGTAGAACACGCTAGGTATTCCTGGGTGATATTGAATTGAATTGAAACAGTTTATTTAGCCAGAAAAACACAGATACATAGTGGATAATAATAACAATATTAACATGGCTGAGCCAGTTGAGAACCTGAGCTCTCCTGTAGGCTCCTGATAAATACGATACATTTATCTCAAAGAAGTATTATGTAGCATTTAGTAACGTCTGGAATAGTACAATAGCGTGGTGGTAATAAGAACATCTCAGAATGTTACCACGGTTATCACTTCATATTTATTTTTTTATTATTATTATTATAAGTATATACATAAATTACAGTGGAATTGAAAAACATAAGTATAATGGGGAAGCAGTAAACCTGGGTTGTAGAGTATTAAGGTTGAACAAGAGGACAGAGCTGTCAGGATTATGTCTAGTTGGCAAATATATTTATTGCAATGGTAATTTCTTATCTATTTACATGATAATTTCCGATAAAACGGTTTTGATGTTACAATAAAAGCAGGTAAATATAGTAGGTGTTACAAAAAATATTAATACTTAGACAATACTTAGACACAGGTATATGTATCCCTTGAGCCACACCCTGCCAGCTACCCTCCCCCCTCATGAACTGTTCTTGCAGTATGCACCGGGAGCGTCAACCTATACCACTGGCGTCTGAGCGTCGGGGTTGCAGCCTCGACAACGGGAACTGTTCGCACCTATGTTTACCTGGCCAACACACCTACACCTGTTACTGCCCCCACGGTCTCCTCCTCCTCCCAGACAAAAGGTACCTCTTCTCCTTCCCCTCAATAAATGATGACCAAAATGGAATATTAGAATCATTATTTTGTGATGAATAAAAAAAATGGTAATTAAACTTACCCTTATTGGTAACAGAGAGAAGTTTGCCAAGTGTAAATTTAGCACCACCTGGCCCCCAATATTTGTGTAGTAACTGACATAACCCAGTTACAGGCAGTGATACATTACAGCTCCAAAATATATAGTGTGAGATTTTTTCGAGCATAGTCAGATATACAGGTACAGCACTTCAAGGTGTACGGTGGAGGTAGATTATATCATAAGTGTTGATGATTTGTTTATATCTTATGTGTTGATGTGTTATTTATATCATGTGCACGACTCACCATTACTTGTTGTTACCTCAGAAAGTGCAGCCCCTGGCCAGACCGCGCCCTTGTGTTCGCCCAGAGGAACAACCTGAGGATGATCTCGTTGGAAGGTGCTCTGAAGGGCAGCTCCTCGGCGGACATAGAGACCCACGACCAGCCTATGATGGATAATGTGGTGCCTGTAGACGGGGTGATGTCGGCCGTAGCTCTTGACTTCTACACTGAAGAAGACTTGTTATACTGGACTGACATTGAAACCAAGACCATTAGTCGAGCTCACCTGAACGGTTCAGCGCAGGTCATGGTGGTGATGAATGATCTAGGTGAGGCAACCACTGTGGGAGGAATCTTCAGATGATTGCTAAATGAGTAAAAAAAAAAAAGGTGATAATATTTTATAGGATAAACCAGGATTCAACAGAAAGTATACAGTACTAATAAAGTGTGTTGGTGTCCAGAGCTTCCGGGAGGTGTAGCTGTAGACTGGATCACCCGTAAGCTGTACTGGACGGACGCTGGCACCAAACGTATTGAAGTCTCTAACCTAGACGGCTCCATGCGCTCCCTCCTCATCTGGAAGGGACTCGACAAACCCAGAGACATCGTTGTTGACCCCCAAGGTGAGGAGAGTAGGTGATTGAGACAGGTGAGTAGGGCAGGTGATTGAGACAGGTGAGTAGGGCAGGCGATTGAGACAGGTGAGTAGGGCAGGTGATTGAGACAGGTGAGTAGGGCAGGTGTGTAGGACAGGTGATTGAGACAGGTAACGTGGGAAGAAAATAGGAACAAGTGAGTAGTGGTTGTGGGTAGGTCAGTCGGACAGGGGTTGCGGGTAGGTCGGTATCAATTTACACCCCTCAATGGCGCCGTCCTTAAGTAAAATATATTTGTCTTGATCTTTGACCTTTAAGTTCACGTTTATATACTGTATATATTTGTGAATGACCTGACCAATAATTTGACCCTTCTGACCTTATATATATATTGATACATTGGTTACTAATTATTACCCTGACGTGTTCCTTACCCCGCGTCCCTTGCCCCGTGTCTCCTGTGTCCCTTGTGCCCCGTATCCCTTACCCCGTGTCTCTTGCCCCGTGTCTCCTGTGTCTCATGTCTCCTGTGTCCTCTACCCTGTTTCTCCTGTGCCCCGTACCCCCTGTGTCCCCCACCCCGTGTCGCTTGCCCCGTGCCACACAGATGGGTACATGTTCTGGACGGACTGGGGTAAGAGCGCCATGATCGAGCGAGCGGGGATGGACGGTGGGCAGCGGATGAAGTTGGTGGAGACGGACCTCATGTGGCCCAACGGTCTGGCTGTGGACCACGCCCGTCGCCTCCTATACTGGCTCGACGCCTCCAGCAACACCATCGAGACGGCTAACTTGGACGGCACGGACAGGAAGCCTCTTATTAGTGAGTCCTGGGCTATGGGAGGGAGGAGGTGTGGATGGTAGAGGTGAGAGAGAGAGAGGGACGGGAGATGCACATACACCCCTAGAAGTGTCACGAAGGGAGGTATTGTAGTGTGTGTGTGTGTGTGTGTGTGTGTGTGTGTGTGTGTGTGTGTGTGTGTGTGTGTGTGTGTGTGTTTGTGTGTGTGTGTGTGTGATAAGATTGAATTTCGTGTTGTTTTTTACGTTTGCTGTGGTTAGGTAATCAGTAGGGAGGGACAACCTTGTCAAGAATCATAACACAAGTCAAAATAATTAACTTAAATAACATACATTACATAAATAGCATAAATTACAACGTCTTAAATATACATCTAATTAATATTTTCTCCGGATCACCTGAAGATTAACCCCGCAACTTATTTCACCTGATAATCATCCTAATGTTACCTGGAGGAATTATGTTAGATTAATTTAAACTTTAATTATCACATGAAATAAGCTAGGGGAGGGGGGCTAATCTTCACATGGTCCTTGTTTATCTTAGTAGGATGCATCAATATACACGTGTTTGTGTTTCTTCAGAGGGGGAGTTGTCTCATCCCTTCGGCCTGGCATTGTGGGAGGACCTCATATTCTGGTCAGACTGGGACACTAGGAGCATCCACGTCGCTAACAAGCTAACAGGGAATGACCGCCAGACTGTTGTGTGAGTTTTGTGCCTTCACTGTTGATGAAGATGATGTAGAATTTGTAGAACCTCAGTGTTTAAACGTGTGTAGATGACATAACTTGTAGAACCTCGTATCTACAGAACCACAATGTTTATAGGTGTGTCACTTGCAGCACTCACTCATCACCTGCTAACAGTGGATGTCTGAATACATTGCAGGAAGGTAGGACAGAGTAGTATCCCCCACAGAAATATATTGACGTGATTCTAATCCCCCACAGAAATACATTGACGTGGTTCTAATCCCTCACAGAAATACATTGACGTGGTTCTAATCCCCCACAGAAATACATTGACGGGGTTCTAATCCTCCACAGAAATACATTGACGTGATTCTAATCCCCCACAGAAATACATTGACGTGGTTCTTATCCCCCACAGAAATACATTGACGTGATTCTAATCCCCACAGAAATACATTGAGTTGGTTCTAATCCCCCACAGAAATACATTGACGTGATTCTTATCCCCCACAGAAATACATCGACTTGGTTGTAATCCCCCACAGAAATACATTGACGTGGTTCTAATCCCCCACAGAAATACATTGACGTGGTTGTAATCTCCCACAGCAAGGGGATGAAAGGTTTGATGGACGTACGAGTGTTCCAGCGAGGACAGCCGATCAAAGAGACGGCGTGTGACTATGACAACGGCGGCTGTTCACACCTCTGCCTCCTGAGCCCCGGCCCTAACGCCTACACCTGTGCCTGTCCCACTGGCATCAATCTACAGGTGAGTCTTCATTTAGGTAAATATTCCTCTACAGTAAAAACCTCCATATAAAGGACTTCTCCCTATATATACCGTTAAGTTGGGGGTTTTTTCCACATCTAATAGACCCTTGATATACTGGATTTTTATTTCTATATACCTGTAGTTCGTTAGATGGAGGTATTATATTTTATACACCCTCGATATAACGGCATTTTCTCACCATATAGTCCGGTTAATAGAGGTTTTATTGTACTTTGTTTTGACAACTTTCTCTTGTGTTGTCATTGTAAGTGGTAATATTTTCAGCTGTTGGTAATATTGTTCAAGGTAATACTCTTTAGTTGTTAATATTGTTCAAGGTAATACTCTTTAGTTGGTGATATTGTTCAAGGTAATACTCTTTAGTTGGTGATATTGTTCAAGGTAATACTCTTTAGTTGGTAATATTGTTCAAGGTAATACTCTTTAGTTGGTGATATTGTTCAAGGTAATACTCTTTAGTTGGTGATATTGTTCAAGGTAAATGCTCTTAGTTGGTATTATTGACGTAATATGATCATCCTTGTGTGAGTTACCTGCTGTTATTAATGGCACCTTACAGGACGACCAACACACTTGTTTTGATGCCCCGAAATTCTCGCTGCTATTCGCTCAACGTGAGGACATCCGCCAGCTCTCCCTCGACACCCCCTACCTCGCCGACGTGGTTCTCCCCCTCACTGGCTTCCAACACGTGGTAGCCCTTGACGTGGACCCCGTCACAGGTAAGACCATCACTCTCCAGGTACAGGTAACAGATTTTGGAACGCAAATAAGATAACTGTATGATCCTGCCTCAGTCTGTCCAGAGAAGAGTTACACTGAATATTAAATACAGTGTCTTAATGAATATACGCAAGGGAAAGTGAGTCATGAAACTAAACCTGTCAACGATATGTCTAAGTTGGTGTCAGTAACATCTGAAGTAACCGTCGTCCACACCTGCAGGAGACATCTTCGTGCCGGACAGTGCAGCGGCCGTCATCTTCAGAGCTTACCGTGACGACCGCAAGATGACCCGTTTGGTGAAGTCCTCCATCGACTGTGTAGAGGGCCTCGCCGTTGACGCCACTGGCAGGAAGGTAATTACAACTCACTACTGAAGGTTTTGTATTATGTGCACCAGAAGTTATGTTGTGTTGTGAGTGGATAAACACACAATCCAAGGCAGCATTGTTGTATATAGTATTGGTCCCTAAGCTGGGGGGTGAACGCTGGTATGTATGGCCGAGTCAACACATTATATAAAGTAATGTTGTAAATATGGATGATTTTGGTGTTTATTTTTCTGTGTCGAACCAAATAATTGTAATGAACCGGTATTTACTATGGGGGTCATAGGTCAACTACTAGAGAAAATACCTCATATGATAAATAAGTCTAAGGTATCAATTATGTGAGTGTGCAGGAAATATATTGGCCAGAAAGTTATATTATGTAATACGTATTGTATTGTTAAAATCGACCTACGTGAACAATCCCACATAACTCATCGTGAGAGAGAGAGAGAGAGAGAGACTTCATCCTGTGTTGTCTGAGTGAAGATGAAAGACTGAGATTTGTACAGCAAGTTTTTTTTAACCCTCCCACCCTTCCTCTCTCTCCCCCTCACTCAGATGTACTGGACCGACCTGAAGCGTCAGTCTGTGGAGGTGAGCGAGCTGGACGGCAGTAACAGGCGGGTGTTGTTTACTGGCCTGGACCACCCGCGAGCCATCACCACCCACTACCCCACCGGCAGGCTCTTCTGGACCGACTGGGGGGAGACCTACCCAAGGATTGAGGCCGCTGACATGGACGGTAATAACAGGTGAGTCACTGCCGAGTCATGATTCAGGTGAGTAAGAGATGAGTAATATGCTTCTTTAGCTAAAACAATTACTAGTGAGAGGAAGAATATAAACACAAAGTAAAACACAACAGAAGTATGGCAAATTATGCGATGATTAACACCCCCATCAGGAAAGTCTTGGTGGACACTAACATCATGTGGCCCAACGGACTCTCAGTGGACTGGCATGAGCGTCAACTGTACTGGACTGACGCCAAAGCCAACGTTATCGAGGCTATTGGACTGAATGGCAGGAACAGACGCACAGTGATCGCAGGTGAGAGACAGGAGTGAGAACCAAAGAAGCGAAGAAACAGGAGTGAGAGAGAGGCGAGAGACAGAAGTGAGAGACAGGACTGAAAGGCAGAAGTGAGAGAGGCAGAGGAATGAGAGATAGAGAAGCGAGAGACAGAAGGGTGAGAGACAATGAGGTGAGAGGTACAAAGGTGAGAGGCACAAGGGTGAGAGACAAGAGTGGGAGAGGCTGCCCTTACTTGTGAACTCAGCCTACTCTATCACAAATGTAGTGGTCAGGTGACAGTTTGTGGTCCAGGAAGGCTGTCTGCACTGCCTAACCATACAAACTGTGGGTTGGTTGTCACGATAGAAAGGCAGGAATATGTTTTTCTTACCGTAAAGATCAGATACCTTCACACTGGTTACTCACCCAGGAGATTATGATGTATCTCAACGTAGAATTTCAATCTACTTCCGGCATTCAATGTGTTGTATACTTGATAAATGATGATTTTATGAATTCCAGTAATTTCCAACATCTAAGTCATTGATTAATTATACTTTGTCATAACCAATAAGTTATTACATTTAGTAATCGTAAGATAGGGATCACAGATACAGGCAGATAATTGCACTTACGTTTATTTGGCACAGTTCCATACACTGACTTACAATTTGGATGGGTAGGCGAGTCATTCACATTCGCGCCACAATACCGTAATTTTATAAGGGGAAGTTTGTCAACCTGGGGAATTAACCGCTTAGATCTACTAGTAAGGCCTGGAGTGCTCTTGTAGCAAACAGGCCTTCACCAGTGATCACTTTTCTTCGCGGGATTTATTAACTTTATCGCTAAACTTAACGAAAGTCTTGGGGTTTTGCACACACAGCCTCGTAGCACTGACTGTCTGAACGGTGTCGTGGTAGGACTGTATGAAACCTGTTTCTTAGGTCTATGGAGCAGGAGGTCTTAACTAATCCACGGTCTGGGGCCTACTGCCAAAATATGGTCGACTAAAATTGGTTGTGGTGGGGTGAGACAGATGGACACTACAACAGAACCTACTTCTCCCCCCCCCCACCATAGGTAAATACTGTACAGGTATTTACATGGTCTGGCATACAACACCCGCTAACACCTGCTGTCCTCCCCTCAACACCCACTAACACCTGCTGTCCTCCCCTCAACACCCACTAACACCTGCTCTCCCCTCAACCCACTACACCTGCTGTCCTCCCCAACACCCTGCCTCCCCCACCCCACTAACACCTGCTCTCCTCCCCCACACCCTCCCCTCCTCCCTCAGCACCCCACTAACACCTGCTGTCCTCCCTCAACACCCCACTAACACCTGCTGTCCTCCCCTCAACACCCACTAACACCTGCTGTCCTCCCCTCAACACCCACTAACACCTGCTGTCCTCCCTCAACACCCACTAACACCTGTGTCTCCCTCAACACCCAACACCCCCCCAACCCAACCCTGCTGTCCTCCTCAACACCCACTAACACCTGCTGTCCTCCCTCCCCCACTAACACCTGCTGTCCTCCCTCAACACCCGCCAACACCTGCTGTCCTCCCTCAACACCCACTAACACCTGCTGTCCTCCCTCAACACCCACTAACACCTGCTGTCCTCCCCTCAACACCCACTAACACCTGTCCTCCCTCCACCCACAACACCTGCTGTCTCCTCACACCCACAACACCTGCTGTCCTCCCCTCAACACCCACTAACACCTGCTGCCTCCCTCAACACCCACTAACACCTGCTGTCCTCCCCTCAACACCCACTAACACCTGCTGTCCTCTTACAGACCTGCCTCACCCATACGGAGTTAGTGTACAGGCAGTGGGTGCTTAGACTGAACTGGGAGACCAAATCACTCAATAGGACGCCAAAAGAGTCCAACGGCAGCGTCTACACCATGCGAGAGGGCCTGGCTGGACTCATGGACGTCAAGGCCCGCCCGGTAAGTCCTTCTCCTCCTCTTCCTCTTCTTCCTCTTCTTCCTCTCCCTCTTCCTCCTCCTCCTCCTCTTCTTCCTCCTCCTCCTCCTCCTCCAGTATCAATATAACCCTTGTGTTTGAGTCTTGACGTTTTGCCTGGGTGAGTCATCAGTCACACTTGTCATCTGTGAGTCAATCGCATTATCAAGTGAATGAGTCGGTGTATTATGTTGACTCACGCCAGCTGTGTGTTGTGGTCGTGAACCTTACCGTAATAATAATAATAATAATAATAATAATAATAATAATAATAATAATAATAATAATAATAATAATAATAATTGTCACTAGGAACGTATGTACATTCTTCTTCTTCTTGACTATTATTACTATTATCATTATTATCATCATCATTATTATTAAAAAAATTAGTAAAACAGTTTATAGTAGTTGGAATAGTAATAGTAATTTAAGTAACAGTAGTAGAATTATTAGTTTATTATCATCACCATCATCACCCCCACCCCAACCACCCCACCACCACCAACCACCCCCACCAACCACACCACACCCCCACCAGCCACCCCACCACCAACCACCCCCACCACCAACCACCCCCCACCACCAACCACACACCACCACCACCCCCACCCACCACCAACCACCCCCCACCACAGCCATCCCACCACCAACCACCCCACCACCACCATCATCCTATCATCATTAATTTGTTAGGATCATTATGTGGTTTATATAGTAGTGTATCACCTTACCTGTGCCTGTGGGGAGGAACATCTGTGGTGACAACAACGGCGGCTGCTCTCACCTGTGTTTACGGAATCCCCAAGGGTACTCGTGCACCTGTCCTACTGGCCTTACAATTATGAAGGTAGGTACTCTTCTTCTTCCTCCTCTTCCTCCTGTTTCTTCTTCTTCTTCTTCTTATTCTTCTTCTTTTCTTCCTCCTCCTGCCCCTTCTTCTTCTTCTTCCTCCTCCTTTTTCCTCCTGTTTCTTCTTCTTTTTCTTCTTATTCTTCTTCTTTTCTTCCTCCTTCTGCTCCTTCTTCTTCTTCTTCTTCTTCCTGTTTCTTCTTCTTCTTCTTTTTCTTCTCCTCCTTCTTCTTCTTCTTCTTCTTCTTCTTCTTCTTCTTCTTCTTCTTCTTCTTCTTCTTCCTGTTTCTTCCTTTCTTCTTTTTTCTTCCTCCTCCTTCTTCTTCTTCTTCTTCTTCTTCTTCTTCTTCTTCCTCCTCTTCCTCCTGTTTCTTCTCCTTCTTTTGTCTCTCCCTCTCTTTTTCCTCATCCATTTTGTCTTCTCCTTGTCCTCCTCCTCTTTCTCTCTACCTCTCCCCTCTCTTTCTCTCTCCCTCCCTCTTTCTCCTCACCTCCTCCTTCTCTCCCACCTCTCCTCCTCTTTCTCTCTCCCTCCCCTCTTTCTCTCATCTCTCCTCTTTCTCTCCCACTCTCTTTCTCCACCTCTCCTCTTTCTCTCTCTTCTCCTCTTTCTCTCTCTCCTCTCTTTCTCTCATCTCTCCTCTCTCTCATCTCTCCCTCCTCTTCTCTCCAGCTCTCCTCCTCTTTCTCTCATCTCCTCCTCTTTCTCTCATCTCTCCTCTCCTTTCTCTCCACCTCTCCTCCTCTTTCTCTCCTCCTCCTCTTTCTCTCACCCTCCTCTTTCCCATCATCTCTCCTCTTTCTCTCCTCCCTCTTTCTCTCCCCTCTCTCCTCTTTCTCTCCCCACTCTCCTCTTTCTCTCCCACCTCCTCTTTCTCTCACCACTCTCTTTCTCTCTCCCTCTCTTTCTCTCATCTCTCCTCCCCTCTCACCTCTCCTCTTTCTCTCCACCCTCCTCCTCTTTCTCTCCCACCCTCCTCTGCCTCTCTCACCTCTCCTCTTTTCTCTCACCCCTCTCTTTCTCCTACCTCTCCTCTTTCTCATCTCTCCTCTTTCTCTCCACCCCTCCTTCTATCATCTCTCTCTCTACCCCTCCTCCTCTCTTTCTCTCACCCTCCTCTTTCTCTCACCACTCCTCTCTTTTCTCTCACCTACTCCTCCTCTTTCTCTCACCCTCCTCCTCTTTCTCTCCTCTCCTCCTCTTTCTCTCCCACCCCTCCTCTTTCTCTCACCTCTCCTCTTTCTCTCATCTCTCCTCCTCTTTCTCTCCACCCTCCTCCTCTTTCTGTCACCTCTCCTCCTCTTTCTCTCACCACTCCTCCTCTTTCTCTCCCACCACTCCTCTTTCTCTCCCTCTCCTCCTCCTCTTTCTCTCATCTCCTCCTCTTTCTCCCTCTCCTCCTCCTCCTTCTCTCACCTCTCCCTTTTCCCTCACCTCTTCTCCTCTTTCTCCCCCACCTCCTCTTTCTCTCCACCTCTCCTCTCTTTCTCTCACCTTTCCTCCTCTTTTCTCCCCTTTCCTCCTCTTTCTCTCACCCTCCTCCTCTTTCTCTCACCTCCCCTCTTTCTCTCACCTCCTCTTCTCTCACCTCTCCTCCTCTTTCTCTCCCCCTTTCCTCCTCTTTCTCTCACCTCTCCCCTCTTTCTCTCACCTTTCTCTTCCTTTCCTCCCTTTCCTCCCTCTTTCTCTCCTCTCCTATTTCCACCTCTCCTCCTCTTTCTCACTTTTCCTCCTCTTTCCTCCCCCTCCTCCTCTTTCTCTCACCCACTCCTCTTTCTCTCCCTCTCCTCTTTCTCTCACCTCTCCTCTTTCTCTCACCTTTCCTCCTCTTTCTCTCACCTCTCCCCTCTTTCTCTCACTTTCCTCCTCTTTCTCTCCACCTTTCCTCTTTCTCCCACCCCACTCCTCTTTCTCTTTCTCTCACCTCTCCTCTTTCTCTCCCTCTCCTTCTCTCTCTCTCCCCTCTCCTCTTTCTCTCCACCCTCCTCTTTCTCTCACCCTCTTTCCTCTCCTACTCATCTTTCTCTCCACCACACCTCCCTCTTCTCTCACCTCTCCTCTTCTCCCTCCTCTCTTCTCCCCCTCCCTCTTCTCTCCCCTCTCCTCTTCTCTCACCCTCCTCTTCTCTCTTCCTCTCTCTCTCCTCTCTCTCTCTCTCTCTCTCTCTCTCTCTCTCTCTCTCTCTCTCTCTCTCTCTCTCTCTCTCACCACCTACTCACCTCAGGACAACCGCCAGTGTAACGAGGAGCCCAATAACTATCTCATCTTCGCGGCCAAAGGTATGCTGGGCCGCATCTCCCTGGACACTAAGCCCTTATGGGACGTGCCCCTCGGCGTCTCAGCCACCAGCCGGCCTATCGACGTCGACTTCCACAGAAAAAAGGATCTACTCTTCTACACCGACGCTGACCAGGACCTTATTAGGTGAGTGATGGAAAGAGAGTCTCTAGTTACAATCGAAGTTATATTTACACACTTGAGTACGATGCTAATTTCTTGAGTACGATGTTAATGACTTGAGTACGGAGAGTTCTTTTGTTCATTGTCGTTATCAACCCAAATAAAGTTTATGTTTAAACCCATTATGTTATGTTAGTTAAGGTTTGGTGATGATGGTGTGTGGTGACTGTAGTGTGTGGTGATGATGGTGCATGACGTGGTGTGTGGTGATGATGGTGTGTGTCGTGGTGTGTGGTGATGATGATGGTACATAACGTGATGGTGTGATGACGTGACATGTGATGATGGTGGTGTTGCAGGGTTGTGTCTCTGAAGAACTTGTCGATGCCGTGGGCGCTCACCACCTCGAATTACGTGACCCCCGACGGCCTGGCTGTGGACTGGCTGGCTGACAACATCTACTGGACAGATGCTGGACGAAAAGCAGTGGAGGTCGCCAGGCTGGACGGTACCTGTCAGAAGGTCATCATTAAAACATTGCTGATGGAACCCAGAGCCATCGCGGTCTTCCCGAGTGAGGGGTGAGTGTATGTCGCATTAAGTTTGACTCCTTAGATGACAAGTTCTGATAGTAACCCCAAACTTGGACTTCCTAAATGACGAAATCAACATAGTAAATTGTTCCAGTCTCAAATGACAAGCCTCTATACTAAATCGCAATGGACTTTCAGACTTTTATTCTGGACGGACTGGGGCAACATGTCCAAAATCGAGAGGTCCTACCTAGACGGGACTGAACGGAAGGTGCTACTGGACGTGGACATCGGCTGGCCCAACGGTCTCACCATCGACTACAAGATGAGGCGAATCTTTTGGAACGACGCCAAGGGTGACACCATCGGCTCGTCGGACCTGGATGGGGAGAACCGTGTGATGTTGGTGCAGCAGGTTCCTCACCCCTTCGGCCTGACGCTGGTGAGGAGAGGACCTGGGGGAGGCTGGGCTACGGGAGGGCTGAAGAAGGTGGCTGGCTCTTAATGATTAGTGAGCTCTCATAGGAAGTTTTAGCTGCTCGTGTGCCGCCATAGGAAGTAGATAGATAGATAGATAGATAGATAGAGATAAACAAATTGATTGGTTCAGTTATATTCTCACACAAGTTGACAATTGGGTCAGTGTATTTGCGTTATTTTATTTATTTTTCTTTCTTGTTGGTTAAAGTTTCTAATATATCGGCAATATTTCGTTTAAGATATGTGATAATAATTAGTTTGTTTGTTTGTTTATTGTTGTGTAATGTGAGTGTTGTACCGACAGCTGGGTAACCACATCTACTGGACCGATTGGCAGACACTGACCATCGAGCGAGCTGACAAGACCACTGGTAACAACAGGAAGGTCATCAGGAGTGGGATAGCTGTAAGTGAGAGGGGTGGAGAGTAGGACATGGTGGGAGGGAGAGACCGAGAGAAGGAGGGGGTGAGGACGGAGAAAGGGAAGAGGGGGATGGATATGTGCGAAGGAGAGAGAAAGGGGAAGGAAGGAAGGGAAGGAGAGAGAATGGTACATGATGGGAGGAGAGAGGGAGGGGGGTATAAAGAGAGAAGGAGATGGAGAGAGAGATAAGTGAGAGGGAGGGAGGGACTGAGAGAAGGAGAGAGAGAGAGAGAGGGGTAGATTGGAAGAAGGAAGGACGGAGGGAAGGAGAGAGAAATTAAGAAAAAAGAACAAGTAATATAAGAGATAAAGAAGGAACTACAATAAATAAGAACAGGTGAATCATAACACAGCAACACACCTTCACTACTGCTCTATACCTGGTCCTTTGTGTAGCACTGTAGAGGCTGTGTAGGACTGCAGGGGGTGTGTAGGACTTGCCTCTTTAACACCACAATACACTTAAATATTAATCTAACTTAACCTAACCTAACCCAACCCTCTTGTCAACAGGGCATCATGGAGATAAAGGCCGTCACTCGGGCGTCTCAGCGGGGTTGGAACCAGTGTGCGGACAGGAATGGAGGCTGTTCACACCTCTGCCTCTACCACCCGACTGGCCGACGCTGTGCCTGTCCCGACACCCACGACTCGAGGATCTGCTCGGAACGTAAGTATTGGTCTCATTTAGCTTCTGTCTGGTCTAGTTTATTGTTTTTGAAGCCTCTCTTAAGTTCAAAATGAGACTTATCTGTATCTTTGTCACTGTCCCCTTGCGCCGTCCACCTTGCCCCGTCCCCTTGCCCCGTCCCCTTGCCCCGTCCCCTTGCCCCGTATCCCTGCCCCGTCCCAAAATTATAAAGATGTAATGTTCACAACCATCCTTTACTCTGCAGGTCCAATGTTCAAAACTAATGAAACCAATGCCGCTGGCCCTCCCACCAGAACCCCGGAGACGTCCTGATAGTGAGATGGAACGTAATGGTAGTAGGGGTGCTGACGAGGCTCCTGGACTGATCCCACTACTGGCTGTGCTGGCGTTGGTGCTCCTTGTGTCCGTGCTGGCGATGATGGCCGTCGTGGGCTGGTGGAAGTACAAAGCAGACTAAGATGGTGGAGGGGCCTAAGGGTGGCGCTCTCACCACCACCAACCCCACCTACAGCGCCTCGAACTCTGATGTCAACACGGACCGCAAACCTTTCACCTGGCGACGACTTCACCACGACGCGAACCATCAGGATAGCTCCCGGGCGGCGACTGAGGAGGAAGGGGAGGCCAAATTGGTGAGTTCTGGGGTGGAACGAAGAGGATAGACTGAGGAGAACAAACTAGGAAGACCATGCTGAGGGGGGGGGTTACACAGAAAATGTCAGTCTAGGGTGTATGCAGGCTGGGGAGGATACAGGAAACATACTGGAATAGACACAGGCTGGGGGTAAAGTTAGTGATATTCTTAGTAAATGCAGCGCAACAATGTGACGGATATGAGAGATACTCACGCCTTATTACCTCCCACAGGGCCGGATGTTTGAGGAGAAGGGAGAGGTGGCAGCCCTGATTAGTGAGCAGCAGCGTGGAGCAGGCCCCCAGCCCCGCCCACACAGACAGATCCCGTTGTCTAACTACGCCCACACCGCCCACACACCCTCTCCTGGCCTGGTGCCGGACCTCCACCAGACCTCCCACACCGCCGCCCACCACGCCCAAACCTGCCCACCCATGTGAAGGAGCCCTGATTATCCCTCCACCCACTATCTCCCTTCTTGTCTTACCTCCCCTGAAGGGTGACTCTCGTGTGACACTATAGTGTGTGTGTGTGTGTGTGTGTGTGTGTGTGTGTGTGTGTGTGTGTGTGTGTGTGTGTGTGGTATACACCTGCACCGCCCACACCTGCCCTCACATTCACCTCCTCTGTCACACCTCCTGTGAACAGGTAACTAACTCAGTTCTCCCACCACCCTACACAGGCCACAGGTAGCCCCCCGCACTCATCACCCCCACACAGGCTACAGGTAGCCCCCATCACCCATCACCCCAACACAGACCACAGGTAGTCCCTGCACCCATCCCACCACACACAGGCTACTGGTAGCCTGCATCCGTCGCCGCACAAAGACTACAGTTAGCCCCGCACCCATTACCCCACACAGGCTACAGGTAGCCTCTGCACCCATTAACCCACACAGGCTACAGCCCCCGCACCCATTAACCCACACAGGCTACTGGTAGCCAGTCCTCTGCACCCTCCACCCCACACAGACTATAGGTAGCCCCTGCACTATCATTCCACACAGGCTACAGGTAGCCCCGCACCCATCAACCCCACACAGGCTACTGGTAGCCCCTGCACCCGCTGCCGCACGGACTATAGGTAGGCCCTTGCACCTATCCACCCCACACAGGCTACAGGTCCCCTGCACCACCACCCCCACACAGGCTACAGGTAGCCTGCCCCACCACCCCACACAGGCTACAGGTAGCCCCTGCACCTGCTGCCGCACACAGACTATAGGTAGCCCCTTGCACCTATCATTTCACACAGGCTACAGGTAGCCCCCACCCATCAACCCCACACAGGCTACTGGTAGCCCCTGCACCCGCCACTGCACAAAGACTACAGGTAGCCCCTGCACCCATTACCCCACACAGGCTATAGATAGCCCCCTGCACCCATCACCCCACACAGGCTACAGGTAGCCCCTGCCCCACCACCCCACACAGGCTACAGGTAGCCCCCTGACCCATCAACCCACACAGGCTACTGGTAGCCCTGCGCCCACCACCCAACAGGCTATATAGCCCCCTGCACCTCCACCTCACTCTGGCTATATGTAGCCCCTGCACCCTCCACCTCACTCTGGCTATGTGTAGCCCCTGCACCCATCACCCCACACAGGCTACAGGTAGCCTCACAGGGCCAGGCAACCCTCCTACTATACATACCAGCACTTGTCAGTATAATAACAAGTGGCTGTACTTTATATTTTACCTCACTGAACTATGGTCACTGTCAGCGGTGGTATATATATATTTTACTTTTTTTTACGGATTACCCACCATGGCTTAGGCCAATTACCCACATCAGGGCCTGGGGGCGGAAATATAATAATAATAGTAATAATGATAATAGTAATAATAATAATAATAATAATAATAATAATAATAATAATAATAATAATAATAATAATAATAATAATAATAATATTATTATTATTATTATTAAAAAAATTTAAAAATTATTAAATAAAATATAATACAGTACAGTACTGTATAATATAATAATGCTAATGATGACAACAATAATAATAATAAAGGGCCATAAATAAATAAGATAAATAAAAAAGGGGATCAAGAGTGAGAAACGATATACAATATGTATGTTGTGTTGTCCAAGTAAGAGAAACAATTGAGACCCTGCAACTCTGTGTAAATGAGGCAGAAAGTCAGATCAGCAACCTGGGACTTGGTCACAATTTTCGTGATGCCATATGGCAGCAGAGTCTACCATTAGACAATACGTTATGCTCCCAATATCTTCCCAGGCGGTAGTCTCCTGTTTGGTAGCTGCCAACTGCCTGAATCTAGAGATGACACCCCCCCACCCCTTCCTGCACAACAATCCTCTACACAGACATTTCGCTCAACGCCAGAAATATCGTTTTCTTTTATTATCATTATTATTGAATCACCAGCATATTAGACACCTCCAGCTTATTTCACCTGATGCTTAAACACCCTAACCTAACCTAACCTAACCTAACCTAATACAAGCATAAACTAACCTAACTTAACCTAACATAAATTAACGTGATCTATCATAACTTCCCCAGGTAGCGCGTGGGTGTTTAATCATCAGGTGAAAAAAATAAGCAGGTGTGTCTAATCTTCAGGTGACCCATATTATTGCACATTTTGCATGACCTGGTTGCAGTAAACAGTGGGGGAGGGGGGTGAACAAGGTGATGAACTCTGACCTAGACTGTTGGCGATAACGAAAGATCAGCCCCAAGATATACTACTACAACTACTACTACTATCGCCACTACTACTACTACCACCAATACTACTACTACTACTACTACCACCACCACCAGCACTACTACCACCACTATTACCACTATGACTACCACTACTACCACTACCACCACCAGTACCACCACCACCACTATCAATACCACCACTATTACTGCCACCACCACCCACCACCACCACCACCAGAACTATCACTATCACTACCACCACCACTATAACTACTACTACCACCACCAATACTACTACCTCCACTACTCGCACTACTACTACCACTCCACTACTTACCACCACCACCACCACCACCACCACCACCGTCACTATCACCAACTAATTACCAATACCACACCACCAAAACCACCACCTCCCCCACTACCATCATCACCACCACCTCCCCCACTGTTACCACCACCATCACACCACACCACACCACCACCACCACCACCACCACCACCACCACCACCACCACCACCACCACCACCACTACCACACCACCCGTCAGTCCCATAGCACTAAACTCTCCAAACTCGTTACTGCATCATCATCCTTTACTACCCAGCCCCTAATACTCAACCCCCTAATACTCAGCCCCCTACTATTCAGCCCTCAACACAGGCCCTACTACTAACCCCCTTATTACTCTGCCCCTTAATACTCAACTGCTTAGCACTCAGCCCCCTGACACTCATCTCCATAATACTCAGCCCCTTAAGCCCTCAAATACTCAGCTCCTTAATACCCAACCCCCTAACACTCGGCCCCTCAACAAGAAGCATCTCCGTCAGACAGCTGGAGTCCCAGGAGGCCTGATAACCTAACTTGCTCGGGTTGTGCCTTTGAGGACCCTGCCGTCGGCCACAGCCAGGGCGTGAGGCGGCAACAGACAGTCGTTATCTCTGGCGGCTGTGATGTTCTACCAACTCACTCGTCGTCCACCTGCTGTTGCTGCAAGGTTACAACAGGGAAACACCACAGTAGTCTCACAGCAGGATGATTATATTACACTTGAAGATGAAGAAGAATGATTTGAAAGAAAATTTAGAGCCTCGGTTTTCACATATTGATCAACAGTGTCGTTTTCAGAGCTTTAGGATGTCAGATTTTTTTGGGTAAAGTTATTTGATGTCTTGAGAAACCAAGATACTGTTTTTTTATTATTATTATTCAAGAACTCCTGGCCAGAAGGAAGACTCGCCGAAGAGGTTCTACCCGTGGGTGTTTAAGTCCTGCCAGGGTGACCAGACAGGGTCCTTCAACACGCCAGCACACATCTCTCTCTACCGGGTTTAAATTTATCATGTTTGCCTGTGATGTTATTGTGTGTGTGTGTGTGTGTGTGTTTCGATGTCAATCACTAACATGCGATGAAATTTGTCTTAATATGATTAGTTCAGTTAATGTATTAGAGCAACGGGGAGAAAGTTTTGATTTACATAAAATGAACAGTCAGTCAAGAGGAGGGAAAACATGATTAATTCGGAAGAATATATAAACATCTTAACAAAATATCTCTCGCATTGAAATTGTTTACACATTGGAATGACTACCGACTAAGATCTTTACTGTCATGTTTAGTTTACACAAGTTTAGTGGACGCGTTGCTGGGAGGCGAAGCAGCTACTGCCGGGCGGGTAAAAAATATAGCAGGGGAAGGGAGGGTTGGATGACTCACTCTCACCCCAGCTGCTCTAACACGTGGTGACGACTGAATTAAGGCATTGATAGGGGCCGCTGTGAGTGACCCGATAACATGGCGGCAACTGAAGAAAAAAAAAACTGAATTCTGATAACCGGTGTATTATCGAGGGCTTGTGGTCATGTTATCAATTACCTTGACAAATATACTCTAACCTGATACCTGTGTTAAGTAGTCCTCATGGCGGCCACCTTCAAGGATGACTTAATGCGTAAGAGGTGATTCATTCCGATAAATAAATAAATTATATAGAGTTATTGTGGTGAAAGAACCGTGAGAACATGTCGTAGGTGAGGACATGGTAGCCTGCAGATTATAATTACTCCACTCGTCCAGGTTGTGTTAGACGCTTGTGTTGTGAGGACCATTTCTATGACGTATCAGCACACCGAGGTAGACGTTTGTGTGTAGGGGGTGTAGGTGATTGGTATGTGTTTGGGGGGTGTTGGGGTGATGGGTAGTGTGGGGAGGGGTAGGTGGGGATGGCGGGTGATACTGGGCAGTTTGGGGAGGGGTTGTCGCTGGGTAGTGTGTGGGGGAGGGGAGGGGTGGGGTGGGGATGCTGGGCAGTGGGGGGTGGGGTGGGGTGATGCTGGGCAATAGGGGGGATGGGTGATGCTGGGCAGTGGGGGTGGGATGATGCTGGGCATATGGGGATGGGTGGGGTGGTGCTGGGCAATGGGGGGGGTGGTGCTGGGCAATGTGGGGGTGGTGCTGGGCAATGTAGGGGTGGGGTGGTGCTAGGCAATGTAGGGGTGGGGTGGTGCTGGGTAGTGTGGGAGGGGTTGGGAGGATCCGGTTGGGGTGGGCAGCTACAATAAGATTGTTCTCTTGGTAAATGCAATCATCGCGAACTTAGTGTAACATGTTTTATATATATATATATATATATATATATATATACCGATTAATTCTATTGTTACAGTTCTGGTGTTAAATATGTGTAACTTTATAGAAACAGCCGGATTTATTTAAGTGGATGAAGATGTTATATGGTAATTAAGTCCCTGATGTTGAAATACTGTATTACGGTATACAGTGTATTATGATAAAGGTAGTTTTGTTCACTAGAGTCGCAGCTTGGTAAGAGTGACCCCTGGTGGGACAACCAGGCATCCCCAGTGTGTACTACAGTACTAAGATGTGATATATTGACCTACCTGAAGACCGTAGTCCGCTTTTTTTATACAAACAGTTGTTGTGGGAACGAGCCATCACTACTTCGCCCATGCTTGTTGATACGCTTACAGTGGCAGGTGTTGCCCGGGCCCCATCACCAACACTGGTAGGTCAGTGTTCCCTTCTAAACGAGTCTTCACAAAATTACCGATGGTCACTCAACAGTCTCTGTGTAATTGTTTCAGCATTTTGGCAGCCATCTTTGTGACGTAGCTTATGTGAACCGATTAAAAATGCTTTCCGTCATCGTCGTTTCCAGGAAGGAAGATTCGCCGTCGGGAGGGAGACACTGGGCGTTCACTCGACCTGTCAGGTACTGTGCCGACCCGCGCGGCGTCCTCAGGTACACAACACAGTTTAACCCTTTAGAGGCCAGCCGTACACTGAGGTATTTTATTCTGGCCAACACCAAATGAATATATTCACCCGAGAGAAACACCTGACCTCTCAAGGGTTAAGTCAGCTTTTACAAAGAACATGTGTGTCAGGCGGTGTCAAAGAGTGTGTCGGGCGGTGTCAAAGAGTGTGTCAGGCGGTGACAGAGTGTGTCGGGCGGTGTCAAAGAGTGTGTCGGGCGGTGTCAAAGAGTGTGTCGGGCGGTGTCAAAGAGTGTGTCGGCGGTGTCAAAGAGTGTGTCAGGCGGTGTCAAAGAGTGTGTCAGGCGGTGTCAAAGAGTGTGTCGGGCGGTGTCAAAGAGTGTGTCAGGCGGTGACAGAGTGTGTCGGGCGGTGTCAAAGAGTGTCGGGCGGTGTCAAAGAGGTGTCGGGCAGTCACAAGAGTGTGTCGGGCGTCGCGATGTGTCGGGCAAAGCCAAAGAGTGTGTCGGGCGGTGTCAGCAGTGTGTCAGGCGGTGTCAAAGAGGTGCGTCAGGTGGTGTCAAAGAGTGTTTCTGGGCGGTGTCAGCGAGGCCGGCGGTGGCCAAAGAGGTCGGGCGGTGCTCAAAGAGTGTGTCGGGCGGTGTCAGTGAGTGCTTGGCGGTGTCAAAGAGGTGGGTTGGCGGTAGTCAAAGAGTGTGTCGGGCGGTATCAAAGAGTGTGTCGGGCGGTGTCAAAGAGTGTGTCGGGCGGTGTCAAGAGGTGTCGGGCGGTGTCAAAGAGTGTGTCGGGCGGTGTCAAAGAGTGTGTCGGCGGTGTCAAAGAGTGTGTCGGGCGTTGTTAAAGAGTGTGTCGGGCGGTGTCAAAGAGTGTTTCTGGCGGTGTCAAAGAGTGTGTCGGCGGTGTCAAAGAGTGTGTCGGGCGGTATCAAAGAGTGTCGGGCGGTGTCAAAGAGTGTGTCGGGCGGTGTCAAAGAGTGTCGGCGGTGTCAAAGAGTGTGTCGGGCGGTGTCAAAGAGTGTGTCGGCGGTGTCAAAGAGTGTGTCGGGCGTTGTTAAAGAGTGTGTCGGGCGGTGTCAAAAGAGTGTGTCGGCGGTGTCAAAGAGTGTGTCGGGCGGTGTCAAAGAGTGTGTCGGGCGGTGTCAAAGAGTGTGTCGGGCGGTGTCAAAGAGTGTGTCGGGCGGTGTCAAAGAGTGTGTCGGGCGGTATCAAAGAGTGTGTCGGGCGGTGTCAAAGAGTGTGTCAGGCGGTGTCATAAAAGGCTGTTGGTAAATAAACCCAACAGCACTGAGAGTCAGCTGACAGAAAACGTATGGTAGACTTTGCTCAATAAGACAAATTTTTAATGGTTGGCTGTGGGTGAACTATGGAGGTATGGGCCGGCAAATATAGGCTGTGGGAGGCGCTGAAGGAACATTGAGCCTCACCTCCACCTTCTAGTACCACAGTGGTGAGTGAGTGAATGAAGCGTGGCCACAGTCTACAATTCTGAATATTATGACGTTTTATTTTGAATTCTGATTTGTAATTCAGGTTGTTTGTGCTGCATGCTAGAGGGGGAGAGCAGTGCAGACGTATACGGCGACAGTACGGGTATAGTGGAGTCTGTGATGAGAGGTTTGGTAGACCCAGGGTGTCAGGTGGGTCGTGCCTGCCAGAGGGCCAAGAGAGAGTGTGAGGTTGACCATCCGTGTGTGGGTGATAAACAAACATACATCTGTACAGCCTCATGGCGGAGGTTTTTACCAATTCAAGACGCTTATCATGCCTAATCGTAAGGACTATTATTGTCATATCTGTTCGTTGAATAGATCTTGTATAACCTTGGTGTCCTATAAATAAAGGATATTTTCCATGTATATCGTTGTAATGTCATATATTTGTAAGCATTAACATGTTATCGTGTGAGGTGTCTCAATACCGCGAGCTTTGCTGAAGACAAGTAAGGAAGCTGACCTGACCCTGTCGTCAGTGTTCCCGCTAACCCTCACCACGGGAGTGACTACATCTCCACACAACAAATCAACCTTTTATCTTTTAATAAACGTGAATTCATTTTATCATAACAGTTAATCGCTAAGGTGATCCCAGGTGTGAAATCACCGCATTCGGTGTGTGTGTGAAGCGGGTGTGTGGAGTTGGTGTCTGTCCTCCTCACCTAAAATATCTGGTCTTAGAATAAATAAGAGTTTAGAGTTTGTCTTACAATGGTAAATATAATAACGAGAAAGAAAAAAAAATTGTTTTTTTTTTCATAAAATGAATCACAAATTAGACCAGTAACAACTACTTACGTTTATGAAGAAGAAAAATATTGAAAATGTGCAAGTTGAGCACATTGTGTGCCATTAATTATATTGGTAATCATAATTCTGTTGTGTGTTGACCAACAGTGTGAACCACGTAAGGACGTTCTGGGTCACTTGCCTCACCAATGTAAGGCGGGTACGTGTGCTCCAGCTCCACACCTTACTGTGTTTACGGTAGATGAAGGAGGACTTTCACCTCACCTCCCCGCCCGCCTCACAACCCTCCACATGAACACGTCCTTTATGCAAAGGTTGTTGTCATCAGGTGTTTACTCGCTAAAGGTCGGTCAAACCAGCGTTTCCGTCTAATGTACATATTGTTTCTGATGTACCACGACACCAGGAGGCTTGTGGCCGCCACCCACCTCTAGTCACTGTACAGGCTTTACTATCCCTCTGGCTCTAGGCTCTCATAACCAAAGTCTTCTACACTAATGACCTTTTTCGTCATGCGTGACATACGTTCTTCTCTCTCACCTGTACTTGGTGAGCCACTACTTCAGTGAACCTTGTTAGGAGTCTTTCTTATTAACATGGTATTATTGTTATTATTAAGATATACCTATGTTAAACTCTCTCTCTCTCTCTCTCTCTCTCTCTCTCTCTCTCTCTCTCTCTCTCTCTAATAATCTTCATTGGATGAATCCCTAAATTCACGGCTTCATGAACCCAGAGAACTCAGTGTTTCGACTGATCTCGTGGACACTTGGAAACTTTTTCTAGCTGGTAAACTTAAGTTGTTGACGAGGAGAGGTGAACGGGAGAGACCAGAGGCGACCCTCACCACGAGCCCTGGCCATGACCACACCACATTATAGCCAACCCAACATAATCAAATAGTAATGGAACCTAACCTGGTCCAAATATCAATGAGACCTCTGTTTGGTTAGGTTAGGTTAGGTTTGGTGTTTTGGTTTGGTTGTTAGGAGAGATTTAGAGCATGGATCACATAATCTAACCTAACTTAACCTAGGTCAAGCTTATTAGCTGTAAAACACAAATATCTGTTAGGTCGCCGAGTGGTGTTAGTTCAGGCGTCAGGGAGAGGTAAGCGTTACAGGGACTCAGAGTCAACATTATCTTGCCGGGATGCTCTCAACAGTGTGGTGTGACCCTGACCAGACTGGATGGTGAGGTGGTACCGTGGTGGCCCCAATCACACCTGGGCAGCCTGCGGGGTGTGTGTGTGTGTGTGTGTGCGCGCTTCACCACCCCTGACGTAAGAGTCCTGCAGCCGAGAAACTTTACCTTTGATGCAGTTGTTTATTTTTATACAACACACGCTTTGCCATGATCATATGACGAGATTTATGTCCATAGTTTCTATCTAGTCCGAAACTTGTTAAAAAATAAATAAATAAATAAAAGTACATTCCGCACCCATTGACTTCGTAGGGTACGAACGGTCGACTCGAAGCTTCAGAATAGCGTTCAAAGATATTATTAACATATTATTGGTACCTGTATGACAAGTATTATTAAACGAGAGACGCTCAATGAGGCTGCTACTTGTCACATACTCAAGTTTTAGTGTTAATTAATTTTAGGGTTTCTCGAGCAAGAGGAGTCTCGAGGTTGTTAAGGGAGGCATTGAAGCTATGAGGAATCTTTATCTCCCTCTCACACCTACAAGACGGGTGGATGGTGATCTCTTCACTTTATTTCGTTATCACAGGCTCTGGCGTCACACGGAGTCGTATATATAGTACAGTATAAGTCGAGTATTTTTTTGTTGTTATTTTACGCTCGTTGTCGCTTCCAGATAACAGACTAAATTTCCTGATATCTCTTGCAGATTATCTTAAGCTAGCCAGAGTTATCACGGGTTATCATAATGTCATCTTAAAGACTTTATAAAGGGGGGTCACCTTGAGTTACATCAGGCCATACAGTCTCACCGGAACACTTGAAATATGAACTAAGACATCCTGACCTATATTTTTATACCCGTAAATTTATAATAAAATAATATATCCTAATTGACTGTAAGAGAGTAATTTAACCAGAGGAAAACAAACAATGTTGTAAAGTTGTAAAGCAATTGTTGTTGTTGTTTTGTTTATTTCCTTGTTGATGTCTGATGAATTAAGTAAACATCCATTATGAGGTGCGGCCATCTTGGAGCAGCGATGACAAAGTGGCCGCTACACTGTGAAGAAGATTCTATTGTTTCTGTGTATCAAAGGCAACAATCAAACATTCATTATAAACCTTTAGTTATAAATATATATATAATTATCAGTGCTTATTTTAACCTCCTGTGATGGTAAATATTTATAGCAAATCTCATATTCATTTAGTAGTATATATATGTTTGGGAAGATGTTACTATAATTTATGTATAATTATTGGACTTTGTAATTATTATCAAATGTACAAATTGTCTGTCCTTGTTTACAGGTTGTTTGTATATAAAATGTTTTAATCTAACTTCATTTTAAAAAGAAAAATCATTTGTCCACCTCCAGTTCTCCAATTATTTCTTGGAGTCTTATGTTGTGCGTAGGTTTATGTTGTGCTTACACCTATGGGCACTGGCCGCCTCACCCGGGATCTGTATTGATAAAAAAACAAATATTATCTGTGATTGTTTACCTACACTATATACATGTTGTGTTATTAGTTCACTACATACATAAACCACCTGCATTGTCTCGTGTTAACATGGTACAGTAAGATGTGTGTGACGGTACTGTACCAACCTACTCATCAGCTACTGTACCATGAGACACGTCCACATGGTTCAATAATACGTATTACATTCTTTCAGTAACTTTATTTTACAATGTCATTCTGAATACAGGTTATGTAGCTGTATTTTATGTACCCTTGGACTATTTTATGTATTCATGGATAGTATTATGTATTCGTGGATAATTTTATGTACTCGTGGACAGTATTATGTGCTCTTTGACAGTATTATGTGCTCATGGACTATTTTGTGTACTCATGGATTATTAGGTAATTTTGGACAGTATTATGTACTCTTGGACAGTATTATGTACTCGTGGACAGAAGTAAGGGTTGAACATGGTGGTGGTGGTGAGAGGCGGTCAATAAGGACATGGGTTCTGTTTTTAGCGTTGTTGGTCAAGCCACGCTCGCTCGGCCCGGATGTTTCAGTAGTCCATCCTTCGGTTACTTCCTCAGTGAATCAGTACTACAAAAAAAAAGTTGGGAGGAGAAGGAGGAAGAAGAAGAAGAGAGTTGCTTACCACATCCACCGTGAGGTCGGCCGCTCCACCAAAGGTTTTGTTTTGTTTATATACGGGTGGGCGACCTTAGAGGGCTGCGGGCACGGCCGTTTTATCCCGTCGATATTCGTGCAGACTCATTGTATTGTATGTTACACGCTTCATATACCCCGGCCAGGGCTCCGGGACGAGGCTTTAGGGTGTCGGCGATCACAGCTTAGTCAAATCAGTAGTTCTTATAGACCATGCTGATCCTCCCAAGAGCCAATCAGCTACTGCAGGTATTTTTTCTGACAAGGGTTTTGATTGGCCCTCGGTGGACCAGTTAACAGCTAGAATTTATTTGTTAAATATTTGTTGCAACCCCCCTCAGTCAAGTGTTTATTAGCCTCAGCGAACCAATCAGCAACAAGGATCAAATCCCAAGAATCCGGGGAACCAATCAAAGTGCAGGATTATCTGGCAAGCGCTCGCCGACACCCAAGCGAGGTTCTGGAGCTGTCGCCGTCAACTGCTCATAGGAGATAAATATACATTTTGTAAGCTAATGTTCTTCAATTGTTTCCTTAACCTTTATTGCCGCCAGATGGCCAGTGTAAATGGCAGCAGGGTGAGTCTTACACCAGATTTGTGGCCACAGGCTCGTACTGGCGAACACAGGCTCACTGGCTCGTACAGCCTAACACAGGCTCGTTCAGGCTCGTACAGGTTCATATAGGCCAACACAGGCGCTCGTACAAACCAACACAAGTTCAACTCAGCGGCACTACAGGAGCTACATCTTGTGTATCACCGACTGACACACGGACACCCAACTACACTGACCTATTGCTACTTTGGGTGAGTAAATGAGTAAGTAGATCAAAAACAAAGATATACAGTACGTGTTGTGCTTCATGATTTACTCAGTAATTATCAGTTTATTTGACTTCAGTTGGAGGGCGAGGTAAGGTGAAGGACGAGGATGGGTGGAGGGCGAGGTGGCAGGACAAAAACAAAGTAGGAAAACAATGAAATTTTTTTCTGGATTTTCATCTAAGACGTTGAAAATCTCTCTCTCTCTCTCTCTCTCTCTCTCTCTCTCAGCTACGTCTCCCCTCTCACCAGTGGAAGTGACTCATTTCTTCACATTTCCATAAATCCATAAACAGTAGGAAGGTTACGGCGTGTTACGTGAGTGCGTGTATATGAGAGAGTATGTGTGTATAAAAGAGTGAGTGTGTATGTGTAATAATTACCAGTTGTGGATGTAGGTGTTACCGTCGCCGGATTTCCTTCCTAGCTGACGTCAACTCGGGTTTGTACAGTAGGAAATGTATCTAGTTTAGTGCTCTCAATGTTTATATAGCGATAATGCAGCTCCTATCAGCTGAAATATAGTTCCTGTCTGCTGAATTATTGTTCCTGTATGCTGAAAAATAACTCGTCATAAAAATAGCCCCTGTCATCAGAAATATAGCCCCTGCTAACGAGAAAATAGCCCATCAGAAAAAAACCCTATTCGCTGAGAAATAGCCCCAGTGGGAACTTTTATCAAGGGGCTATTTCAACTGCTGTATCAAGGGGTCGAGAGCTAATATCCGAGTCAGTCCTAATCTCGCCCAGTAATGCTATTAAAACAGTGGAACATTTTGCGTAAGGGTGAAACATTTCGTGAAGGAGGTGGAGCAGTGCACTATGCAAAGGTGGTGGAACATTACTGGAGCGTCCAGTTGTCCTCCCAGGTAAACAATGGGGTGTGTTCCCAGGCCCTGTGGGGACCCCAGAGAAGAGAAAAGGCGAAGACGAGAAGTAATGTGAGAAACGTTTGAGTAAGTGAGAGAGGAAGTGTTATGTAAACTAGAACACCCACACGCCCACTACTATCATCATTCCCACGCCCGCTACCATCACCACGCCTAACACCATCGCCACTTACAGATTATTAGTAGCAGTTGTAGTTGTTGTGAATTATGATAACCAAGCATCAAGCCTATTTACGTTGAACGATTTCTTGCCAAATAACAGTTGTACAAGGTAACATGGGATTATAATTAATTGAATAGTGCACCTTCTGACAATTAAATAATGAGAAATTATGCGTTAAAAGGAAAATTAGTAGTTGTTGTACCCGTGACGATAAGGTCTTGGCCTTGTGTTCGGATGGTGGCTGTGACTTGAGTAAAATTAAATTTTGAATGTTGTCAATATAATTATGAGTCAGTGTTCCATATCATTGTAGTTGTTCCAGTTATTATATTTTTTTATATTACTGTTATTCTTGTTTATATATTAGAATTGTTTGATTATATAAGAAGACTGCAAGTCTTCAAACGCGTGAATTTTAAGGCGTTTACAGCCTATACAGAGGGAGGTGGCAACTGGCAAGGCAGGGGAGGATTGGGCTTGAACTTCACCGGAATCAGCTCTTTCTGCTGGACTGGGCTTCCGCCCAACTGTTCTTAGACACTGCTTCGTGCTTAACCTATATCATCCGGCATTATTGGATCTAATAATCAAGAAATGGTCTGATAAATTACGTCCCGTGACGAGAAACAACCTTACAACTACCAGCAACTTAAGCTCTCCACCATAACATTATCCCAATACAGACTTTCATGTAGTCAATATTCTATCTAAACTAAGTGGCTTTACAGTTCAGTATTTCTTGTAATTAGCCGACTGGGGTATAAACACAATATCTTGGAAAATATCTCAGTATTGGTTATTACTGCTTAGTTTAAGCTAGTTATACTAGTTTTAATGTTTTGTTTTGAATTTCGGCCGTAAAAGAACTGCAAATTTAACTAATCTGGGGATTTCATGGGTTGCTAAGATCTGGTGGTTAGTAAATGAGTGGATTAAAAGACAAGTGATAATCTAAGCTGTTTTACTACTCAACGACACCGACCATGGTTACAGTGAACTGTTAAGTGGAGGAAAGATCTAAGTGGTGGCTAAAGTCTGGCAGATATTGAGTTAGGTGCTATAGTATGTGGTTAGATTATAGTTTGTTTATATAACGTGATGGTATGAGGCATATTTGAAAAACATACAGTCCACAACTTAAAATTGCTGCATTTACGTAATTTCCACCAGGCTGGGTTACGATAGACTAGTGACTAGTGGGTTATCGAAGAGCGTAGTGAAGAGTAAAATTCTCACAGTAGTAATAGCTGTAGGAGTAGCAGTAGCAGTAGAAGTGGCTGTAGTTTCACCGATAAAGTCCTGAACGTTGGAGTTAATGTTGATAAAGAGAATTCATTACGAGGGTGGGGCGGTATTGACCTTGTGACAACCGACTCAATGGCGTACCAAAACTATATAGATATATCCGCCGGATGTGTACGACCCTGACGGTGTGTGTATGTGTGTATCAGTGTCCATACATACTGTACATACATACCTCTGGACACAACAGCACACCGCATATTGGTTATCGTCACCAAGAAGGATAAATCAGTCGTCTGTGTTTGTTTGTGTGTCTTGTGGCGTCGTACAGGATGGACTACAATGGACGACTCATTATTATGTTTCAGAGTGGAATATATTCGAAGGTTATAATGTTAATAAACATATCTTAAGGGCCTCATTAATTGATTAAGAGGACCACGCCGCCAGGTCAGGTCAGTCAGTCGTCAGACCGAGGAAATTAAAAGAAAACGGAAACAAACATACGGAACTTGTTTGATCAGTGACGCTCACTGGAACATGACCTTGGCAGCCTTAAACCAAAGATTCTGATATTAAAGGATAGCCCAGGGGCGGATGCAGGGGGGAGGGGGGTCTGACTCCTCTTTTCATCAGAAAATTAGAATACTTTTTCTTAATGCGGTATTGTACTCAGAGGCATTTTTGTATGGTTAAAAATTAATTATTATTGGCCTCAGAATATCTCCTAATATTAATTGCACAGGACCTCAAAATAACTATGATATTGGTCAGATATAAAAATAAATTCTAGGGGGACTTCCAGCTCCCCTGAGCTGGGTGGGCTTGCTGTGCTCGCCAGATACTCCCGCACCCAACTTTATGGACCCCCCTTTTGATATTCCTGAATCCGCCCCTGGAAACACACACGCCAAAAAGAATCTTTATGGAGAAGTTCCGAAGAATTTCAAAATGAACACCGCAACTCCTGTTGTTTCGATAGGGTTGTTAAAATCCTTCGGCTGTTGTGTCATATTGTCTCATAAAATCGTGAGATACTTTTTGGGGAAAGACGTATAAACCCGGGAGGTGCAGTGGCTTCCGAGCTTTGGAGACGTCACTGTCAGCACACCTGAAGACGACTTGGTAACATCCGCCCTCCAGTTGCCAACGGGGTCCGGACAAAAGCCCCTTGGACAAAGTAGGAAAAAAGACCCTCAATTAAAGTGCAAAATATGTTTGGTTAGGTTAGTTAGGGTGTTTTAGTCATGAGGTGAACAGGTGGGGGGGGGTAGTAATCTTCACGAGGCTCTGACATATAAACAAAAGACAATCAAATACTCGGACACGGGGGAACAACTTCGTGTGAGCCTTATTGTAATTGTTATATCTCGTTTTATAATGTCTTTGTAACGTATTAATTTTGTTGTGAGGAGAGTCACTTATATGCTTGTTAATAGTTGTGTTGTAAGTGGCAGGAATCTACTTAATCACAACTGTGAGCTCGTGTCCAGGGAGAGCGAGTCTTGTTTCAGTTAGCTTGCCCGGTCTCCCTTGTGTGTGTCAGGGCGAGACTGACGGTAAAACCATCGCCTCTGTCTCAGGTTAGGTTGTCTGAGGAAATTACTCATATTATTATTATTATTGTTATTATTATTATTATTATTATTATTATTATTATTATTATTATTATTATTATTATTATGGTGCTATGCATACACCAGGTCTACAGGAATCTATTTAGTAAATGGCTGCATGCAGATGGTGATGACGTCATGACTTGGAGTGTTATACTGTGCTTGTAGCCGCCACCACAAACACCGAAAAGTGGTCACTTGAATCGACCCTAACCTAACCTAACCACAAAGACAGAGAGAGAGAGGATTGTGGGAGTGTTGGAGTAGATAATATGAAGAAAGCAACAGGACATAATTTAAACAACACACACACACACACAGTTAGCCACAAAGACTCTAAATGATTCATATCCTTTTGCTTTGTTTCCAAAGCTTAGTCGTCAAGATAAGGTTCCGTCCTGCTAATTAAAACCACCCATGAACCCGAGATTCATGAACCAGTGAATCCGAGACATAACACAGTGCGTCATCTATGGATCCCAACAATGTGTGATGTCTCGGATTCACAGGTTCATAAAGACTCAGACTCAGGGTTCATGGATGGGAGAGAGGACTGACGGGACCTCCCTTCTGTACAAACCCACAAAGTACCTATACGGAGGGGGTTCGATGATTTTCAGAATGAACACCGCGACTCCTGTTGTCTCAGTGAGGCTTTCAAAATCTTTCGTCCGTCGTGTCGTATTGGTTCACACAACATAACCCCTCAAAGCCTCACTAATTTGTCGGATAACCTGAAGATCAGACACCCCCAGCTTATTTCAGCTTACGAATAATTAACCTCTCCTAACCCAACCCTCACCTAACCGAGTGCAAACCTATCCTGACCTAACACTAACGTAACGCTAACCTGACCTAATCTAGCTTAATCTCCAGGTGAACTAACCTTTGGGCTAATCGTCAGGTAACCTAACAAAACCATTCATACATTGCCCTCACCTTGGCCAGGTAGATTAATTACGAGACCTTTATTTATTTACCTGTACAGTATGTCTGTCTGTTTATTTGTCCTCAATATTATTGATAACGTTGTGACATAGATTCCTGATTCATTTAAGATAACTAAGATATGATATAAAAATACAAGACTACAGGTACAAAAAGTGTTGAATGGTGACAAGCGTGTTCCTTATCTTGAGAAATGTTACGTAACTTCTCACTCATTCCCGGGATGAAGAAAGGAACGATAATAAATGTGTAATGACTAGATAGAAATTGAGAAGTAAATTAATAATGAAAAAATCGATAAAGGAATGATACAGAGAGTTATTTAAGCGCAATAATGATGAAATGACGGTAAAGTGTTACTTGAGCGAAGGGGAAGAGAGGTGTGTGTGTACCAGGTGTCACTTAACGCGGTGTTTCTTATCACTGGTTAGCGTTGCTCACTACACTCCAGCTCCGTCCCCCCCCCCTCACCCCCGATACACACACACACACACACACACTTCCGGCTGTTCTTCATAAACCTTTCATCACATAAGAGTTGCTTCCGGAACAGTGATGTGTATTATGACATGATGACATCACGCGAGAAGGGTTAAATGTGACGTCACGTCTTTCCCAACGCGTCATTGGCTCTGGGTCAGGTGAGAACACGTATGTAGTTAGTCTTGCCAGCCGCCCACCCCTCAGTCTCCCTCATTGAGATTGAGTCAGTATCAAGCAGAACGCCGCTGAGGAAGGATCACAGTCAACAGTGGTTCATTACTGTCATTTACCAACAGTGAACAAGGAAAGGTGTGGCCTGTGTGTGTGTGAGGAAGACAGTAGCTGAGGAGTCAACACAGGAGCCGTCACGTACGCTGGTTGTAAAGGAGCAACATTATGGCTGTTGGTGTCAACTACTGCTGCACCGTACTCCTTATACTAGGTACGTGGACGTGGGGTATTATTACTTGATGTGAGGGGAGGTAGGAACGGGGGAGGGAAGGTAGGAAGGAGGGAGGGAAGGTAGGAAGGAGGGAGGGAAGGTAGGAAGGAAGAAGGAAGGGAAACAGTGTTAAGTGTGTGTGTGTGGAAGGAGCAGAAGGGGTAACACACTACCTCTCACGTCTTAAAAAAGGATCACACACACTACAGGGTCCTCTTGCCCCCCTCAATATTACTCAGAATCTCTTGACCTGTGACCCCAAAGAACTCACACGTACTGTACAGTCAAAGGAACAAAAAAAAAGTCATGTTACACCCCTTACCCTTCCCATTCCCTCGATCATTATGTTTTTTAACCCATGACGAAGAATTATGATAAATCTCCCCGTTCACACCCCAAGCTTAATTGTCACTTTATCCAAATTCTTCGTCATGGGTTCCAGAACATAATCTTAGTGGGCGGGGTGTAACATTTATTCTTTTTACTAGAATTAATCAAGTTTTAAACACACACACACACACAGACAGACACACACACACACACACACACACACACACACAGTACACCCGCAAGCCGCAATGAGTCGGGGAAATGAAGGCCGTGGAGGAGGAAGAACTAAGTGAGTGAGGGAGGGGGTGAAGATGGTCCCCGCCTGCAAGCTGTGTTTACCAAGTGTTGAACGAGGCAGTAAAATGGTCTTACATAAATACTAATCTTCATTAATTTCTAAGTTTATTTCACCGCCGGTCATCAGCTACTATCTTAAACTAACACAGCTAATTTCCTGACCAAACATAGCAAAAATGTCTATCCTAACACAACTATTGCTTTATCCAAACGTAATTAATGCTCAGATCTAACACAGCTAACACTAACCTAACACAAAGCACACATTCTAACATAACACAGACATCTAATTTATCACAAACATTTAACAACTCTTAACTAATAGAGACAACGATCTAACCTAACTTAACCCTACCTAACCTAACCAAATCTAACGTAGCCCTACCAAACTTAACTTATCCTAACACACCAAACGTAAATAACTAAATTTTAACACTTAACAAAAACAGTTTAACCCTTCAACAACTAACACAAACAGTTTAATCCTTCAACAACTAACACAAACAGTCTGCACCTTAAACCACTAACACTAACTACGTACCGCAACAAACTAGGGCGGCTAAACAAACAACCCACCAATTGACGTCATCATTTGACCTTGACAGCGTGTTTGAGGAAGCATCGGGGAGTGAAAGGGAGGGAGGAAGAACGAGGGGGTAAAGGAGGGAGGGAGAATGGGGGAGTGAGGGAGGGAGAATGGGGGAGTAAGAGAGTGAGTGAGGGAGGGAAGGAAGGAGTAAAGAAGAATAAGGGAGTGAAGGAAGGAGGGAGGCAAGTACCAAGTATCCGTACTCACACCTGCATGACTCACACCTGCCAACACCTGTACCTGGGCTTGTTTGTGTTGTCACATATAAACACAGGTAAGGGCCAGATGTTCACCTTCACTCACTTTCACTCAATATTCGCCCAGACTCAATCTATTTTCAAGTAACATACAGGTGATAATTTGCAGGTGGGAAAGGTACAGGTGATAATTAGCAGGTGGGGGTGGGAGAGGTGCAGGTGGGAGAGGTACAGGTGATGATGACGCATCCTAAAATATGTCCCCGTGATCACCTCCACACCCCTCCCTCCCTCACCGCGATTAAGTGTCAGTCCTAACTAAACTTAACCTAACTTAACCCTAACGTCACCTTACCTTACCTGTCCTCCTCCATCTCATTACCAACACCTTTCTTACTATGTTCTTAATTAGTTTCAATGTAAAAAAAATAAATAATAAGGTTACGGATATGTAAATACACATAAACTTCTCCCGTATTTATGTAAACATGTCAAGGCCATATAAGGTAATTGTGTTGTAAATGATGTAGTGATAAAGGATGATCCAGCACGCAATACTGTTAGTGGTGGGGCACACGGATGTTATTACCCCCCCCCCTTTCTTCTACCCCCTCCCCTCTTCCCCTCCCCCCTCCACCACATCCTACCATTGTTATTACAACCGCCACCACACATATACTGTACTCGGTTATATTACAAAAATCTTTTACAGGCTACAAAGAAAGATGCTGAAATGGTTGTAAGGTTTTCATATCCGGTAAACGCTAGCTGGTGGTGGTGTTGGGGCGGGGGGCGAGGTCCAACAGGAGAGTGGTGAGGAGAGGCAGGCATCCCTTAGGGGGAGTACTCGGTCCCATTGTGTTTCTTGTGTGCGTTAATAACAGAGAGAAGCGCCAGCCTCCATTATACCGTGAAGCCGAGTCGACACAGGATGTACACAAGAGAACATGAACAAGGTCTGCTAGTAGTAGCCTCAGCTGTAGCCATGACGTTTATACACAGACTATTGGGAGTAATGTGTTTAATAAGTTGTAAGGTAAGAGCTGGGTAAACTATGGGTGGTTTCGTGCTCGAGCTGACAATAAAAAAAGAGAGAGAGCTAAGCTTTTACTATCATGTGTCTTGACGGGTTGACACAAGTCTGGCGACACATATGATACATTAATGTTATCTACTATCCCGTATTTTTATATATATATGTTAGAGACTTGACGTGAGGCAGCCAGAGTAGAACGCGGTGTTAGTGTCAGACACCAGTGATGTGATACGAGATTATACGTGTGGACAGAATAAATAATAAAAAAAAATTCAGTCGCATCAAAACAGCACTGAGTAAGGAAACAATTAGAAACACTCCAGACCTCCCGGACGGCGGACGGGACACTAAAAAAAAGGCCTTTAGTCATAATAAAGAGGTGACTATGTAGTTCTGGCAGCGTCGGTCAAACGCACCTCTGTCTCCTAGATAAGATGTGGGAAAACAGCTGTTACGATAACACATGATAAACGCAACAACTCGGGAATAACAGTTTACGGGGGGGGGGCTTGAGGAAACAGATGAAGCCCAGACTTTAATAAGCGACTTATTCACTAAAAAGGTTATTATATAAAAATCTCTGAGCAGGTTATGATTGCCCACGAGGGGGCTAGTTTATTGGGCACCCCTTACATCCTGTGCAAGGTGAAGCATAGAAGCGTTTACAGCGCCCATCTGGGAAGCATGCGGATTTCTTACTTGCCTTTGTGACTTATACATTAAGGGCGTAAAAGCCTGAAGGGTCATGGGTTTTGTTAGCAAGTTACATAAAGTGACAGAATGATGAGTGTGTGGGGGGAAAATTCCCGGTACAATTTATCTGTTTATGGCAAAGCGTGGCAGGTCCCTCACTAGGAGGAGGGATATCTGGTCAGGGAAGTTAGAGTGTTGGTAACGGCTGGGGACCTGTAGGAGGAGGTCATAGGGCAAGTGAGGATGTAGTGAGAAAGGGTGTGAGAGGCAGTTGACCACAAAGTTTATCTGTAATCTGTTTACAAACAGTGCGTCCAGGCTCAGGGTTGCCAATGTACTAGGCGTGGCAAAGTACAGTGGGGGTGGTGGTGATATGGTGTGGTGGGACAGGTACAGTAGGGGTGGAAGGAGGCACATAGGCATTGACAATATTGAGGGACATATCTTTTAGTGTGATTGTGATGGCGTGTACGTCGGTAGTGTCGGCTTCAAGGGGGACGTCGAGAGGTTGGTAGGGGACGTCCTTCTTGGCGTAGATACGTAGTCCACTAGCATGTCCGCATGGTGGTCAGTTGATGTGGAGAATTGGAGTGGATGGGCCCCAGGTGCCGGCATGCCAGTGGGGGACGGGGAGCCGGGGGTGGTGTCCTCGGGTCCATGAGCGCGCGGTGGGTGGACGGGGGCAGCCGGGCACGGGGCAGGCTCGGTGTGGACGCCAGCAGTGGTGCCAGGCGGCGGTGGAGTAGGCCGTGAGCATGAGGGGCACACAGGGGGGCTACCACATTGTGTCAAACCAGAAGAGGGGGGTGACTGGATAGCAGCTGGAGGCAGGGGTAGTCTGTGTAGGTTGGAGATGGCGGTACAGAGAGTATCAAAGAGTCTTTCAATACGGTTGGCAAATTCGTGTAAGAGGGATATGATCTGTGTCGTGTCACCGGAGAGGGGTTGTGGCGGGGGGGCACCGGTGGGAGCACAAGGCCTGACAGCGTCAAAGTAGAGACGGAGAGGAGGCCCAGTAATAGTTGAATTAGGAGACGTCCGGGACTGCTGTGTTGCAGCCAGGTGAGGCCAGGCAGAGGCAGGTGTTGTTGAAGAAGGCGTTGCTGGAGACAGAGGGGACGCAGAGGGATGTGGCTCGGTAGGCTGGGGGGAGGTTGAGGTTGACGCAGCCCTCGGGAGGCTTTTCTCCTGGGACAAACGGACGTTTGGGGCATTGTCGTGAGTCAGCATTGTTTGAGCCACCACAATTAAAACACCTGGGGTCAACAACATAGCCCACACCACCCCCATTGAGGTGGTCTTTGATTTTTTGGGCACAGACGGGGGAGTGATGGTTACATGAGCAAAAGCGACATCTGAGACGATCACGTCGGCAGCAGGCGGTGAAGGTGTGACCCCAATGGGAGCAGATGACACAAAACGCAGGCCCTGGGTGATAGATTTCACCAGACAGTGCCGGGAGGACTGGATGGGCATCAACAGTGGTTGGGCACTCCCTCCCCCTCCATTTAACTATGACAGCTGCTTGTGGGGTCTTCCCCCGTTAGTGTCGACGTATACTGAGTATACGTGGATTAAGGTCACGAACATCTTCGACTTCAACATATAGGGGGAACTGTTTAACTAGGATGTGGCAACAGTCCGCTGCGTCAGCAGGAGGAGGCACGAGGACAACCCGTCAAATCCAACAGTACTGAGTGTTTCATAGACCTCGGGTGTCTGACACTTGATAAAGTTACAGTTCTTACCTTTTCGGAATTGAATGGTGAAACCGTGTTGTCTCCAATACTTTGTTGTCCAATTAAACCGTTCCTCGACGGTTTTCGATGAATCCTTGGGGTAGTGGCAGAGGGGTGGGTGGCGAGGGGAGGCTCGCTTCCCTTGGCATTGGTGTTGCCACTCCGGCAAGTGTTTCCCATAGAAACATTACTGTTACTGGCACTATCACTGAGGTCTGACTCTTGCAGGGTGTGGGATGCATTATGACTATCTGTCTCAGAAATGTCTGTATCCATTAGAGAGGGGACTCCTCTTCTGGGGCGCTTAAGTCGACCCCGCCCCCCGATCGCTGGCAGCACTTGCCAGCAATCGTCACCTTTGTGTGACGATCGGGAAGACAGGAGCACCTATGGGCACACGTCTGTTCTCTTACGTGGTCAGACCGCGACTGGTGCCGGTTATGTTTATAAATTAAGTACTGTAGTTGTAATTAACTTACAGGAGACTTGTGTACAGTCGCCGCCCCACAACACATTACACGTCATCCTGGTGCACATGATCTTTTATCACGCGCAGTGTGGTGAAAAAGCTTGTATTTAATTTATCTGGAGTTCTTTTATATATATATATATATATATATATATATATATATATATATATATATATATATATATATATATATATATATATATATATATATCTCAATTGTTATTAAAAACTTCATTACTGTAAGTATAAGACACAGGGAGGAGTTGTGTCCACACACTTCTGGCTGGTCCATATTACAGGTATAGCTGGCTGGCACACTAGGTCACCCGCCACTTTAATAAAAAAGTAATATAATATGAACATCTGTAAAAAATACTTTCTCTCTCTCACAGGTATGGCCACCATTTGCCTGACGCAGAAGACACACCTGAAGTATCACCTGCAACACTTGACGGGCGAGCGTCACCCCGCCTCCCCGGACACCCAGCAGCTGTTGGAGGCCCGCTCCTACATCAAGGACCAGTTCCGACAGTATGACCTCGAGTTGGTCATCAACCACTTCAACACAACTGTCGTCATCAAAGGCCAGGAAAAAACGGTACGACTTTTGACTTCTGCAATGATGTAGAGTAGAGGCGGTAGGCGTCTGTTGGTGTAGTCCATCTTGTCAATACGATAACTCGAGTGTATAGGAAGAGAGTTTACCAGACTTGTTGTGTACATCCGTTACCAGATTAAGAAAAGTTAGATAGTCAATGTTTCCATAATTATGAAAGAATTCCTTGGATCAGGGGTTCTTCACCTTTATCACCCGGTTCCCCCTTTTTTTTTATTCCGCTAAGGGCATTTCCTCTCCCAATTCGAATAAAAGAAACAGGGGGGGGGGGTATTACTTGTGAGGCACAGGACATAAGCTTCAGACCGGGGACAGGCAGTAACACCACACCTCACAGCTCAAGCAGCGTTACAAACTCTTATAGGAGATGATATGATGCTGACCCATAACACAGGTAAGAGGGAAGATTCTTCTCATTTTCAGGAAATGTTTGGATGAAATTTCTCCTCATTTGGTGTTACACTGCATAAAATTTCTCCCCGGTTAAGAACCCCTGCCTTAGACGAACGCTTGTTTGTGCCGCTTCTGCTGCGTCAGATCAAGGAAACTATTTTTTTAAGGGGATTAGCTCACCCGGGCACAGGTCACTGACCCACATCGGGGCCTGGGAGGTGAAAATGTAATAATAATAATAATAATAATAATAAAGAACCATAAGGAAATACAAAAATGAAAAAAAAATCAAAAGTGAGAAACAATATATGTATGTTGTGTTGTCAATAATAAGAGAAACAATTGAGACCCTGCAATTGTGTGTAAATGAGGCAGAAAGTCAGATCAGCAACCTGGGACTTGGTCACTATTTTTGTGATGCCATATGGCAGCAGGGTCTACCATTAGACAGCACATTATGCTTCCAATATCTTCCCAGGCGGTAGTACCTCCCTGTTTGGTATCTGTCTTAATTAAAGACTACATTCATTCTCAAACGATACAAGCTTTTTCAAAGAATGTTGGACGGTTTCCAGATTACGGGTGAAAATATAGTGGGCGTGGCCAGAGGAGACGCAGACGATAGTGTGCTTGTGGTGGGAGCGGACTACGACACCACCCCCCAGCAGTCACCTCTCGAGAACAATGGGGGCGGTGTGGCCACCATGCTGGAGGTGGCCAGGATGTACATGAACAGCACCGGACCAGGGCGAGAGCTTAAACGACGTGGTACAGTGCTCTTTGTCGCCTTCGATCTCAATACCATAGAATATGTAAGTACGAGTAAAATTGTCTCAAATAGATCTGTTACCTCAAAGAATAAACTTTAAAGAATGACTGTTCACACTATTGTTAAAACTATTGTTTATACCTGTACTTTAATACTTACATATGTTACTCGTACCAAAAAGTATCTCTACGACTTTGTGTGAGACATAACGCAACGGAAGAAGAATTTTGACAACCCTACCAAGACAACGGGAGTCGCAGTGTAAATTTTGAAATTCATCAGACCTTTCCGTAAAGATACTTTTTTGGAGCGAGGTTTAATACCCGTAATGAAATATAAGTCTTTATGGTGTGTCTCGTTTGGTGATTCATGCAGGCAGCAGCTCAGCCCGACGAGCGCTACGGCCGCCCTGGAGCCTACTACTTCCTGCACCAGTGGTTGTGGCCCTTCCTCAACCAATCCTCACAGAAGTTTGTAGGGGCCATCATCCTCGACTCCATCACGAAATTCAACACAAAGAAAATGTCCCAGTATCTTCCATCTGGATTTGAGAAAGTGAGATAAATAATGTTTAGTGTTGAAGAGGAACTTTCTTATCCTGAAAACTTTGATGATAATGGACATTAACCCCTTTTAATTTACCCCAGATTATTTTATCCAGCACAGAGAATCCCCCGTACACACGAGGTCAAGTTTACGATTACAGCTAAATATCAAGGACGCTTTTCACTTTCTATGTTATAATCAGTATATTGGTTATCGAGAGTAGGGTGTAGAAATGTCCACAGTCTCATTAATAGAGAGTTCTTCGGTAGGGAACAGCGTCCATTGTACAGTATATCTTGCACTCATGTTAAGTAGACTTGGATGATTCAGTTAAATTTTTCTCATACATGATTCATTAATTCATACCTGGCCACCATTCATCTTACCTGTCAAGTTTAATTACACACTTATAAGCGCACACACACACACACACCATAAAGGTAAAAGAATGCATTATGTGACCCCCTCAGTAAAGGACCTGTACTCCCCACAGACCTTCCCGGCTGCACACGAACGCATAGCTTCGATGGGTAACAGGGGGGACTTCCTAGCCATGTATACCAGAACAAGCCGCACCAGCCATCATCTCACCTCCGTCATCACCGCCAGCTATAATGAGGTGACTTGAGGGCCTTCTATCTTCCATTAGCTGTTATTTACTTGTGTTACGCGTTTATAGATCTCCTTAGGTGTTGAGGTGTATTGTGTGTTTATTTATGCATCAGGGTATTAGCTTGAGGGTGTAAGGAGAGGATTTTTGAGGAATAGAGATGGAGTATGTAGATAATGTTTTAATTTACCTGAAGATTAACCACCCTAATCTAATCTAACAATAATCTAACACTAACCTAGCCTAACACTTACCTAACCTCAAGAAGCGCTACGTTGGTTAATTTGAAGGTGAAATAAACTGGGGTGTTTAATATTCAGGTGATCCCAGTTTTTAGGTAAACCAATTTAGCAATAATATGAACTTAAAAATAGTTATAGTATAGATAAGTTACTTCAGGTGAGCTTTGCAGGTAATATCCCTCCTTTACCAGCATCAGGAAGAATGTTTTTTTTCTTTGTACTTTATTTCCTTCCTGTATCAGTGACAGTTGAGAGCGAGAGGAAGGCCAGTATAATGCAGAGGTAACATTTTTTTATACATTCTTCCAGTGACAAGTAGAAGTTACATGTAGAACTATAGTGTAAAAGTTGTTGTGTTGGCTGTTCTATTCTCCAGGTTGAAGTAAGTTGTATTATTGGGTATAGCATGTCCAGCTTAACTACACCTGAATCTGAGACGTTGTTTACCTGGTCGTCCTATAGGTATAGTAATTACATCAGATATTAATTGTTTAGTTCACCACCACCACAACAACACATCCAGAATCTGACTTTAGCTCCTCCGTCGACTTAAATGAACCCTCATCAATCATCATTTTTGTTGAGTGATCAAGTTGTGCCATATAGGACTCGCCTTAATTCAGGTTCTGACTAGTGCTCTTCTTTCATCAGGGTTCCACCAAGGCCAGTCCACCGAGGCTTCAAGAGCTGCCAGTGGTCAGCGGAGCGCCCGCCAACTCCGACACCTTAAGCATGTTCAACCATCAGGCACACTTCCACTTCTGGACCTTCCAACCCTCGGCAGAACCTTTGCCGCTAACAGCCGTCCTCCTCACAGACACCGGTACGTCCTTCCTCACCAGTCTCCTCTACACTATACTCACAGCCTCCCTGGTAATGTATCAATTCTTCCTTTATACTACTTTCGAGACTCAGGGTCTGATGATGTGAGTCTTGGCGGTCAGTGGGGGTCAGGGTAGATACAACAATGTGTACTTTAACCTTCGGTACACAAGGAGGCAACATGGCCGACACTGAACTCTACCTCTTTCACTTCACCAATTGAAAAGTTAGGTACTCGGTTACTGTTCACTGCATCACTTACGTATATTGTCATGAATACGATCGGGTTTATCCTCATCTCTGTGTTTATCTTTTGACTAACAGAAGGTGACAAGTAACAATAAGTAACAGTAGGTGATGATTAAGTAACAGAAAGTAACATTAAGTTATGGTTACAGATATATATAGGGGATCTGGGGAAGTGTGTGGGCCACCGTGTTCAGCCAAGGAGTTCCTCACACCCAGCCGTCAACTCGTTCTCTCCCATATCGCGTCAACCCTTACCAACACACTACTCCAACTGCAGACTGAACAAGGCATTAGTGGTAAGTGCTAGTCGTAGTAGTGGTGGTGGTGTTAGTAGTAGTAGTAGCAGTATTATTATTATTATTATTATTATTATTATTATTATTATTATGAATAGTTGTAGTAGCATTGTTAGTAGTAGATATCCGTATATGTGTGTTTATAAGCTTACTCGTGTGTATGTGTGCTTGTATTTATCTATTTTTATGTAAATGTGTACATACTTATGTGTGAGCATGTAAGTAAGTATGTGTGTGTGTGTGTGTCTAAAGAGTCACATTGTTGGGTTGTTGATGAAATATGTTGTTGGTGCTCACAGATGGCAGCACAGGTGTGGCTCTGGTGCCCACCCTGGCCCTCACCTCCTCCTTGGTGGCACTCATGCGGCTCCTACACTAACCTCACACCTCCACGCTGCTGCACATAACTCCTGCGTACTATAGGCCAGGTTACCTCTAGTCCAGGTCACCTCCAGGCCAGGTCACCTCCAGTGGGCCCTCCAGGTATCAAGTGTGTGTGTACTGTATACCAAGAAAAACATGACCCACCCGTTCCACTAAGGCACACTGGTTATGGGACAGTACCTCGCGTCGTTTAGTGACACATGAGAACACGTCGCTCGTACTGTGTGTGTGTGTGATCACCGGAAGCAAAGTTCAAGTTTTCTACACAACAATGACTGGGACACACACACACACGGTGATCCTGATGATATTGTTGCAACCTCTCATCACTGTCTCTTCTCAATAGTTCATGTGAAATGCATTGTTCTCAAAATAGAATACAGTAAGGATTCGTATTATTATTATTGTTGTTTTTATTATTATTGTTATATTATTGTTATTATCATCATCATTATTATTATTAGTAGTAGTATGTATTTTCAGGATACTGTATATCTCATGCCATATTCACCACCCTTATATCATAGCTTAAATGAATCAATTTAGAGATTTTCTTACACATCAACACGAAGGAAAACTCGCCTCATTAACCTCTGGGTATACCTGGCCTGTGTTCGAGCTCCGATCCCACGTGCATGAGACGTCTCGAGGACTCGCACTCAGTACTGAAGCAACATTTCGAAGCCTCAGTTCACCAGCTGATTGTGTGATCGGTGTTTAAGCTCCCCATAAATAAAAACAAGGTTGTGTTGTGTTACTTGACCACCTCCTTCACCGATCGCGCAAGAAATACTATAAAGACAACGCTGGCACAAGGCTGGCGAACGTAAGTCTGGTGTTTACGGTCTTTAGTCGGTGGATTGTGAGGGATTTGCCAGATGCTGTTGTGTTGTGTCAAGACTGTGTTGATGTACTGTAGTGATGGAGAGTGTCAGAAGACTTGTGTTACTCCTGACTCTAAAATTATAATCATCGCTCAACATAAGAATACTAATATCAACACAAGCTGGTGTACAGTCGTGAACAGAAGTCCTGTCGCCCCTTGTGCTGTTCCGCGAATCAAGAGATTCAGACTCATGAACCCGAAGCAGTAGATACTGGTGCATTATTCTGCCCATAAATGCTTCGGATTCATGAGTCTGAATCTCAGGGTTCGTGGAGCAGCAGAAGGGGCGACAGGACTTCTGTTCACGAGTGTACCTATAGTGCAATAATGTTTAAGGAGTTTTATTTCGTGCTGAAGGAATATATAAATCCTCTCAGAGTAAAGATAATATATGAATTTTATATTAGATGCCAAAGGATGTAGGTGTTAAGGTGTGTATCTGTCACCTTGCTTATATATTTACCATGTTTTAATGTCTTATATTTTATGTGTTGAGTTTATATGAAAGATGTATATGTTTGTACGCTAGTCTCTCTCTCTCTCTCTCTCTCTCTCTCTCTCCTTCCTTCAAAACATGATGCTCACAGCTGATCTCTCAATTGCCAGGATAAGCTTAGGGTGTCTGAAAAAATGTACAGATTTTTCGCGGAGGTGACAAAAAAAAATATGTTGTTTGTTTACATATTTCTTTTTTTTTTTTTAGATACCTTACAATAGTGTTTCTCTCCAATGACGTCACAGTAAAATGTTCTTCCTTCGTGTTCTTTGTTCGTATCTGTTCTTCATTAGTATTACATTTATTTGTTGTTGTTCATTCTGGAAAACTTATTAGTAAGTAATTTTGTACAGCAGAAAATATGTATAATAGTCTTTTAAGTTATGTTAATTAAACGCCATAACGTATTTTATTTGTACATTTTATTAATTAAAGTCATTAGTACACAGGTAATTACAAGGTGATATACAGTATTATTCGTAACACAACCTTGATTTAAGTTAATTTCCTCGTTACAATATTCACATAGGTACATACCCTATACCCCCCCCCCTAACACACACTGCTCTGCTCTTATAACAGACTTTACATAATAACAGACTCTACTCGTATCACCTGAATATTAGACACCCTAACTTCACCCGATAATTAACCACCCTAACGCTACCTGGAAGGGGGGTTAGGGTAGGTTAAGTTAGGTTAGGGTAGATTAAGTTAGGTTAGAGTAGGTTAAGTTAGGCTATGATTAAGTTAGGTTAGTGTTAGATTAGCGTAGGTTACGTTAGGTTATAGTGCGTTACGGTAGGATACAGTGTGTTACGGTAGGTTACAGTGTGTTACATGTTACAGGATGTTACAGAACTATCATTACTTTGAGGAAAAGCCTGTGACACATTAGAACATAAACTGAAGGAGCTGAGAATATTTGCTATTGACATAAACAAAATTAAGACGAAACATAAGGAACGCTTTCTTAGGTGTTCCTGTTCCTTTACTAAAATACAGACCCTCGGTGTGAAACAGCTCCCCCTTTTTTAATGTTTTCATATAACTGCAGGAAAAATTTTTGATAGACGCCAATTGGACTTAGTGACAAGAGCCGATATTAATTGTTAGTGACAGAAACGCCAATATTAATTGTTAGTGACAGAAATGCCAATATTAATTGTTAGTGACAGAAACGGCAATATTACTTGTTAGTGACAGAAACGCCAATATTACTTGTTAGTGACAGAAACGGCAATATTACTTGTTAGTGACAGAAACGCCAATATTACTTGTTGGCTGATCAAGACACACACACACACACACACGCAATAATCACACAAGAGCACTAACATGATGACAAAACAAACTGCTGTAATCCAGGACGTCAATACATCAACTATTGTATTTTTTCCTGGGACAATATTACTCGATAACCGAAGTAATTGTTGTTGTTGTTATCATAGACATCAGTAGACCTCGATTCAAGACACCTGAAAGCTTATGAGTTGCACAGTACATCAACAGAATCCTAATGGAACAATCGGGTCATCTGGAGATTAGACACCTTAGCTTATTTCGCTTGATTAAATACCCTAACGCTACCTCAAGGTTAGGTTAGGTTAGGTTAGGGTGTTTAATCATCAGGTGAAATAAGCTAAGGTGTCTAATCTTTACGTGAACCGAACAATCATCATCAAACACAACGTAAATGGTCATTCTAACAACTCGTCAGTAAAGGCGTTGGAGCTTCAGTGAACGTGGGTGGTGACTCGGTCTAGATGGTCGTATTGATGTTAATCTCTGGTCGCCTGGACTGAAGCTACTGATAGAGACGAACCACGATGAAGAGAAGGACCGTCATGAACAGAGAAGGGAAACTGGTCACACCCGCGTCAGGTGAATCTGTCAGTGAGAACCCCCAGAGAATTAAATATCAGATGGAACACCAAAAAAAAAAATTAAATCACCAATTAATTCATATCTTCAGACAGGTAAGACAGTTACTAACGTTTTATAAGTTAAGTAATTCTTAACTTAAAGGAAACTATTTTTAAAGGTGAATCATCAATTTAGGATCACCTAAAGATTAAACATATTTCACATGATAATTAAACAATTTGCGGTGACTAATCTTCAGGTGATCAGAAGTAACTGTAGTTATTGAATTAAGTGTGAGAGTGAGTATTAAGTATAAGAGTGAGTAATTTGTGTGAGAGTGAGTATTATGTGTAAGAGTGAGTATTATGTGTAAGAGTGAGTATTATGTGTAAGAGTGAACTAAGTGTGAGTCAGGTACAGTATAGGTAACAACATGACTGACCGATAGGGGAACCTTGGCGTCTCATGAGGGTCCGCACGAGGCCCTTAACCAAAGCGTCTATAAAGTCCACTCGCTCGGTAGTCAGGAGATCGTCTGCTCCACACATGTTGCCGCAGGAGTCAGGCATCGGTGGAATATCTCGGAGACCCTCTTGCGGGGCGGGAGGGAGAGAGCGTTTATGAGTCGTTAATCAACAGTACACGGCTATAAAACTTTAGGTCACACGTGATATAAATATTTACATTTGAATACAAATTTAATGTACACATGGGTATTGGTGCATACAAGCGGATATGAATGTGTACATGTGGATACAAATGTGCACAGGTATATAAAACTCATGTACACAAGTAAAGATGCGCATATGTGCAGTCACTTGTACGTATTATACCTTGTACAGTGGCTGATGTTTTTTTGAGAGATGTGGCAGCTCCGTGTCTGTTTACATTGTATTAAAACTCCCGGAATGGTTCTACTGTAAGTAACCTTGCAATAGTAGCCAGATAAGGATGTTCGATAAACATTCCATAGTGCCATCTCTCAGAACACACCAGCCACTATACCAGGGTAAAAATGTGGGGACTAAATTAACAGTGCACAATTTTCCATGATAAAATGTGTAAGAACACCCGCATGGTTAAGTGTTCGCCCCAGCATCATCCCGTAAACTCAAGACAACACAATATTTAATCCATAGATAAATAAATAGTTGTTTAATTTCCTGCTAGACAAAACAAAAGATAACCGATCACAAAATTGATCTACAACAACCTAACACAAAACCGCTGACCTGTCTGTATTCACCAATCACAAGCCTGAACAGTTTAGTGCTGCCATATTCGTCCCTAATATTTATGCCTCAGTATTTTTGGGGTGAGTGGAGGAGGTGGATCGTCCGACACCCTCCCGTGACAAAATATTTCTGACTGTCTGACTCCCAACGTAAATCATTATCTTTCGTAGATGTATGAACTATAAGTGTGATGTAAAAATGATTAGTGACATCGTTTAAAAGTAGTGATAATGAAGATTTAGTTGAAATAAGAGAAAATTTGTAAGGTTTGAATTATCGAACTACCACTAGGAACTCTCACTCGTGCCCACCCTTCCGTGTACCAGGAAATACTATATACTTCTGTTACGGATCTTCAGTTTCTCCTAGGCTCATTTTGGACTCCAGGAAGAGGAGCTAAAGTGAGCTGATACAAGTCTGAAAGTGAGTACAATATTGTAAATTATAATTTACAATATTATGTTTCTTTATAAAGTTGTGTGACGTCATAGGTCGGTTTTCTGGGCACGGTCTTCATTATGATCGTTTGAAACTAATTGTCTGGTTTGGTTATCTTGTATAATAGTTTCTGAACGCCGGTGGTGATTCATTCTGGTAAGAACTTGGTTTAAAACTTTCTCAGTAACCATTGTAAAGAAAGTTGACATTCATTTCACATTATTATTTTTTTTCTTAAACCCGAGTTGAAATTGTGCATAAGGATATGTCTTGGTTTTTAATTTTGAGATTATTTTTTATCAATTTGTCAACCATTTGAAGGAACACTTAAATTACACACACACACGTAGCAAGTGTTCCAGTAATTTCAATAATCACTTAATAATCACAGTTAGACACCTTTTCAGTTTATTTAATTCGTAAAAAAAATAACCTGTACTGATGATTAGTAATATTTATGTATGATGTATTTGAATTAATATGTTCACGGTGATGCTTAATAATAATTGGTGATGTAATGTATTCGTTAGCAATTATTATAATCTACACGAGGATCTTATTTTCACTACTTTAATTATGTATTGATATTGACGTCGTTTTTGAAGACTTTCTCCTTCCCATGTATTGTTGGAGCCAGTAGCATTAATGACACGTTTACCAAAAGTTTTATACGGGAATATTTTTTTTTTTATACAAACTTAAAGTCACTAGTTTTACTTAGTGTTCTGTAGCGGATTTTTTTTTTTTTATAATTAAAGGTTGAGAATTTTGACACTGGACTGAAGAAAGCACAGAGACATGGATGATAATTGTGAATATTAAACGAAATTAAGGCTAAGACACACACACTGAGTAACATACGGGTGTCAGTAAGAAGGACGGCTGGCAGGGACAAGACGGTATCGTTGACGGTGAAGGCCCAGTAGTTGATGGTTTCTTGTTTGGTCAGTTCCTTTACGAGTTCGGTCAGTTTGCTCCCTTTCTTTATGTCCATCTCCTCCAGGTGGTATGATGACCTCTTGCGATCCTGAAACAAAAAGACTACAAGTTAATACCATATGAAATTATAAACGAGATTCATAATGTTTAGCTTATTGATATGTAATGTTGTATTCTCTATGCCGGGCGAGACTCCGGGAATACCAGGGAGGTGAATCATCTTGTCGTCCTGCACACTCTTGCCCGCCTTGACCTGCCGACCAGTTGTTTTGTCAGAATATGAACTTGGTAATCATATACACAATAAAACACAGAAACTTGTATCAAACAATGTGGTTGTCTTGTGAGTCATTTCCTCTCTTACCGTCAACAACAGGAAGGGATTATCACTGAGCATCTAAATTATTTTGTCTTGATATAAATTTCTTTCTTCAGTTTGGGTGTGACACAAGGTGAGATCTTATAGAAATTATTTGTTATAAGGTGGAAGTAGGTCTCGTAGGCCTGGCGTCTTGTATAGGGGTGGTGCAGAAACTTAACACTACTGTACGCTCCTGTATGCAAGGGAATGGTGATGCTGTAAAATGCAGTGGATATTTTCATCTGTTTGTACCTCAGTGGGAAATTTACCTGGGTGCTAGTTAGTCATGCACACTCTCTATTTGATCGACTTCCCTCTCGGTTGTAGAAAATCTCGTGTTACTTGGGGTCGTGTGTTAGAGGTTCATTCCCAACATGTACTGGGATTTCGTACGTCGTGTTGTTATAGTAACTTGTGAGGAAGGAGGATGGCGAAGATTAGTAACTTTGTTCTTGATAACTACAGCAACGCTACGCAACCTGTACTGAAAATTGCGCTTGGATACAATGGACCGGTGATATAGTATGAATCAATGTAATTTGGTTGTATCAGAGTTAATGCTACTTTGACCCAGAGAGGAAACATCTTGCTTCCTTTATTTTTGGTCTTGCACTTAAGGTTATTGACTCACCCAGTTGTAGTTGCCGGCAAATTGGTCCCTCAACAGGTCCGCCTTCTCTCCCTCGATGGTGATAACACCAAGAAAGTCCCCCTTCCTGTCATTCTCCACCACATGTTCGTACGTCTCCGGGAACAGCTGCAGTGAACAGGAAATTAAGTCATAAAATTCAACCCAGATTTATCCCAACAACATATTATCATACAGGGGTCTCTCTTTTTTTTCATGATCTAGCTGTCGCTTCACAATAACATTAAACATAGATTTTTATTCTTTCCCACAATAATATCTTCTTCAGGTCTTAAGAACATTTTCGTGTGTCCTTGGTTAGTTTAGTTAGTTAGTGAAATAAGGACAAATACCTGGTTGAAATTTTCATCAACCCTTTGAGAGTTCGCGTTGTAGTTGATGTTCATGATGGAATCGATGATGAAGGCGCCGCCGAAGTTGGTCTGAGACTGGTTGAGGTAAGACCACAGGAAGTCCTTCATGAAGAACAGTCCTCCTGGCTTACCCGGACTGGTCTGTAATATGCAAACATTACCGGTATATCTTAACTGGTGATCACATTACTCCCATTTTCTCTCGGGTGCTAACATAAACCCTATTTGTACAGTGGAAGTATTTATTCAACGCCTGAACTTGGATTTTCTGTTCGCCGCAGCCAGTTAACCGATAAAATCATCATTATCTCGCATGACACAACCCTTAAAACGTGTTATCTTTACAAACAGATAAGATATCCAGCCACGTCTCTGCACACATGACTTCAGGCCATAAAGTTTGCCCCCATCAGAATTGTAAATCGAACTGTGTTGTAGAATAATTATGGCTGGTGTTTGGGGCAGGTGATGCGTGCTGGACCAGTCAAACCGTAGGAAGACTCTTGGCTATAAAATAATCTCAACCCTTTATTCTGACACCTCTGACAGCTACCCACCCGATGTTAGATTAAAAGTAGAGTCTGCGGTTAGGGAGGTTTGACCCGGGGAGGGGGGAGGGGGTCCCTAGAGCTCCCTCCAAATGGATATCAAACTCAGTGGCGACGTTGTTGAGTTGTCTGATAGTGAAGACGTTGGCAACATCTCCTTCCTTCATATACCATCAAGATACTCAAGGGAGCTGCGCCACATCTGAAGTTGGCCTCTTCCCCTTAAACAACTCCCCCCGCCCCTCCCCTCTGAATCAACCCCTTAATCAATCCCCCTTAATCAAACCCTTTAATCACCTACCTGGATCCATAATACAGCAACATGAGCTAACTTACTGTCCCTCGTAACTCGAATCTTGAAATGTAGTTACTTTTTTATATGTGAAATTACAGCATCAGTGAAGTGTATTGTTTGTATTATGATATCAATGTGTTACTGTGGGTGCTGGATGTGGCGTTCATCATCTGGCTCACTCGGTAGGTGTCATGATAACAATAGCGGGGATTATTACCGAGCTGCTGTGTACCCCTGTTAGACTGAAGAGTGTTTGAGACGAGTGAGAGTAATATCATCACAATGCCTCACGAGTCAAGAAACGGATCACCTGAAGATTAGTCTCCCCTAAGCTTATTATTTCACCTAATGGTTACACACTCGATCACTCTCTGAGATGGGGAGGTTAGCGTTAGGGTGTTGAATCTCAAGTTGAAATAAGCTCGGGAGGTTAATCAGTAAGTTAGGTTTGGTTAGGCCTTACCCCATGTTCTTTGGTGTTGAGGTCATAAGCCACGAAGATGGTGGTGAAGTTCTGCGTGTACACCCCCGACCAGCGAGTGTTGTGCGTGAAGAGCCTGGCTGTCTCCAGTAGAGCTGCCACACCCGCCCCGTTATCAAACATGGGGTTCTTCAGTCCGCTGGTGTCGTAGTCCGCGCCCACCACCAATACCGCTCCAGGGGTGTTGCTCACTGCTTCCGCGATACCGATGACATTCACGCCCTCAACCTGTAGTAAGCATGTCACGCCTTGGGTTACCGGTACTGATTTATGTCCCGTAGACATATTGTACAGGGTAGGTAGGTTCTAACACACACACACATACTGTAGGTCAGGCTGATGCGACACTAACAGGTCAGGATCATGCTACACAAACAGTACAGGTCAGGATCATGCTACACAAACACAGTACAGGTCAGGATCATGCTACACAAACAGTACAGGTCAGGATCATGCTACACAAACAGTACAGGTCAGGATCATGCTACACAAACAGTACAGGTCAGGATCATGCTACACAAACAGTACAGGTCAGGATCATGCTACACAAACAGTACAGGTCAGGATCATGCTACACAAACAGTACAGGTCAGTATGCTACACAAACAGTACAGGTCAGGACTATGCTACACAAACACAGTACAGGTCAGGATCATACAACAGTACAGGTCAGGATCATGCAAACACAGCACACAGTACCATCAGGTCATGCTATCATGTACAGGTCAGGTACAGGTCAGGATCATGCTACACAAACAGTACAGGTCAGGATATACACAACACAGTACAGGTCAGGATCATGCTACACAAACACACAGTACATGCAAGCACACAGTCAGGATCATGTACAGGTACATACAACACACAGCTACACAAACACAGTACAGGTCAGATCATGCTACACAAACACACAGTACAGGTCAGGATCATACACAAACACAGTACAGGGTCAGGATCATGCTACACAAAACACAGTACAGGTCAGGATCATGCTGCACAAACAGTACAGGTCAGACATGCTACAAACACAGTACAGGATCATGTGCTACACAGCTACACACAAACACAGTACAGGTCAGATCATGACAAACAGTAACAGGCAGGATCATGCTACACAAACAGTACAGGTCAGGATCATGCTACACAAACAGTACAGGTCAGGATCATGCTACACAAAACAGTACAGGCAGATCATACACACAAACAGTACAGGTCAGGATCATGCTACACAAACACAGTACAGGTCAGGACATGCACACAAACACAGTACAGGTCAGATCATGCTACACAAACACAGACAGGTCAGGATCATGCTACACAAACACAGTACAGGTCAGGATCATGCTACACAAACAGTACAGGTCAGGATCATGCTACACAAACAGTACAGGTCAGGATCATGCTACACAAACACTGTACTGGTCAGGATCATGCTACACAAACACAGTACAGGTCAGGATCATGCAACACAAACACAGTACAGGTCAGGATCATGCTACACAAACACAGTACAGGTCAGGATCATGCTACACAAACACAGTACAGGTCAGGATCATGCTACACAAACAGTACAGGTCAGGATCATGCTACACAAACACAGTACAGGTCAGGATCATGTTAGCTTACTGTTTTCGTCGGGTAGGTGACGCCGGTGGGGTCTGTGTTGACGGTGGTGTTGAACTTATGCTCAAACACCTTGAGACCGTAGTTTGTGAAGTGATCTCTGATGTACTTCTGGGCGTTGAGGCGTCCGTCATTGTACTCTTCGTTGGGGAACCGCTGGCTGGTGAAGTGCTTGAGGTGGGAGGCGATATCCACGTTGTAAATTACAACAGCGGACGCAACTGAGGCACCTGAAGCGAAACCCACGTCAGACTTTGTCATTGTTTTTTTTTGTATGTGTTTTAATACTAGAGGCTATATAACGTTATATTGTTCTTGTGTTATAATACCTATTCTATCCTTGGGGCTAAACTTCAGGAGATCCGGTAACTAATTCTCTCTCTCTCTCTCTTATGTGACTCCTCATATAATCTTCGCTTTACCGAGGACGTAACCATCATAAGAACATAAGATTGGAGGAAACTGCAGCGGGCCTATTGGTCCTTACTGGACAGTCCCATTTACACCCAACCCCTATTGCTCATATATCCATCCAACCTATGTTTGAAGCTATCTAGCGTATTCGAGTTAGTGATGATATTCGGTAACTTGTTCCACTCGTCCACTACTCTATTTCTAAACCAATGTTTACCTATCTCGCGCCTAAATCTAAATTTGTCTAATTTAAAACCATTGTTACGAGTTCGCTCCTAGTTGGATAGTTTGAGTACCTTTGTAATGTCACCTTTGTTCAGCCCTGACTTCCATTTATACACCTCTATCATATCGCCCCTTACTCTACGGGGGATGTGATGTAAGGAAGCCAATCAGCGCTACTGTAGCATATTTGCGTCACCAGGAAGACTTGAAACAGTGGCGTCGATTGGCTGAGCTTCACTTACTCTGCCACGCCCGGGCCTCTACGTGTTTTTTTTTTCCAGGACGAGTATTAAGGTACACTTTTTCCCCCAGGAAGAGCACAGTATCATATATTATTTGTCTTCCCAGAGTGAGCGTTCAAGTTCTTGATTTTTTACCCCAGGATAGTACAATACATAATGACAACACCGAGCGTGAGAATTAGTGAACATCATGAGATCTGTAGTTTATATAACGGGTCACGTGAAGATTCGACCCCCCTCCTCCCCCCCCTTTCCTCCAGCTCCCTGAGGATTAATCACCTAACCTAACTTAATCAAAACAAACCCAACTCAACCCAACCTAACCCCAGATATCTCTTAGTGTAGTTAATCTTGAGGTGATCCCATTGTATTTTTCCCATACACATCAACACTGCCTTACGTGGAAAATACAACAGGTTAATTAAAACTAACCTGGTGGACGTACAGGTGGTTTAAGAGTGTCCTTTAAGTTACGTTCTTATATCTTTAGTTGTAGGGGAAAGGAAGGTTCAGTATACGAGTACTTCAGATTACCTTATGCCCGGTACTGATAATGTCGTAAAAGTGTTTGTGTATCTATAGGGTAAACCCGCGTACTCCCTCTCTCTTCAAAGGTGTATGGTGGTAGTGTGTGGCGGTGGTGGTAGGTGTACTTGTAAGTGTGTGCGTGCAGGTTTGGTTTAAATCCCTCGCCGCCTTATGAACATCAACCTACGTTAGGTTAGGTTAGGAAAAAAATAAAGATTGAGGGGCCGTGAGACCGAGGGAGGGAGAGCCAGAGGTGTGGTGCCAAGAATCACGTATTGAGAAGTGTGGGTAAACCTCTCTATAATAATAATAAGAATTACTTGATGATTAACCACCTAACGCTTATCTAACCTACCTCTCCCCCTCCCAAGGTAGCGTTAGGGTGGGGTGTAGTGGACTTCATGTTCGCCTCACAAGTCAGTAGTTCCGGGTTCGAACCCCGGGCTGGGTGAAACATGGGCAAGTTTCTTATTTGTCTCAGTCAGACAAGCAGTAATTGGGAACCTAAATGTTAGTCGATTGCGGATCGTGTTCCAAGATATTGGTTAGCCAGTGCAGTTGGCGAGTTGTCCGGTCTTCTCGTTAACTTAGGGTGTGGTTGTTGTATTGGCGACAGCTTCTACACCTTCAATCCACGGCTGGGTGACCCATGGGCCGGCCAGCCTTGTACATAAGGTGTAAGAACTACTATACATCAGGTGTTATAAGTTGGGACTAGGTTCAAGTGATACAATCATAATAATATTAGTATGATGGGAGTTAAGATAACAGGGAGCGGACGGTCACAGCTACCTGTCTGCCGGCGTCTCTCCCCATCTTACCTGCCAACAGCAGCAGTGGCGCCACCAGCAGTAGTCTCATCTTGAAAGTCTTCAGGTGACGGTGTGAGGTAGAGGGTGTTGTTAACAGTCCTGCACCGTGTAGGTCGTGAAGGTGTCGCGGCGTGGCTCAGGTAGGAACCTTCTCCCACCAAGCGTCCTCACTCTACTAAGCCCCCGGCCCGCCCTCAGCCAGCCCACACCCTGTTTCCTTATCTCCCTTATCTCTGCTCAGTGCCTCGTGTGACTTTAAGGTTTATATGAACTAAATATAAATATATATTGAAAACCTGAAAGATCTATATTTGTTTTCAGTTAACTTCTGTATTATAATGTACCGTAATAGTACAGTACGTGTTAACACAGACTTCGTCGTTATTCCATATTGGCTGAAGAACCATCAATCTCGTTTAATCTCATTGGTTGAGGTTCCTGTGACGTAGTAATGCCGTTAACCACTAAGTTTTGAACACTAGAAATGTGTCTTCGTATTACCGACAAAAAATAACAAGATTACATTAAGTTGGTGGTGTTTCGTCGACTTCTTCTGTGTTGATGACGTCATTGTTTGACTTGTGACGTCATTGGTTATCAGTTAGTAGGGGCCCCATTTTGTGGTAGATATCACCCACAGACACACATGAAGATCGATCGTCTTAACTATACTGACACTACAAGAAGAACAAGATGAAGAAAAACATTAACACACTACAACAAAAAGTGTAAAGTAAGCTGATAACGCTATACTTTACTGAGACCTGTTGGCGAGCTATACTTTACTGAGACCTGTTGGCGAGCTATACTTTACTGAGACCTGTTGGCGAGCTATACTTTACTGAGACCTGTTGGCGAGCTATACTTACTAGACCTGAGACTTTACTGTTTAAGAACTATACTTTACTGAGACCTGCTATGAGCTTATACTACTGGAGACCTGTTGAGCGAGCTATACTTACTGAGACCTGTTGGCGAGCTATACTTTACTGAGACCTGTTGGCGAGCTTTACTACTTTACTGAGACCTGTTGGCGAGCTATACTTTACTGGAGGCCTGTTGGCGATCTATACTTTACTGAGACCTGTTGGCGATCTATACTGTTGGCGAGCTATACTTTTACTGAGACCTGTTGGCGAGCTTATATTTACGCCTGTTGGCGACTATACTTACTGAGACCTGTTGGCGAGCTTGGCGAGCTTACTACTTGAGACCTGTTGGCGAGCTATACTTACTGAGACCTGTTGGCGAGCGAGCCTATACTTTACTGAGACCCAGTTGGCGAGCCTGAAGGTTGGCGAGCTATACTTACGAGACCTGTTGCGAGCTTATAATGATTCATATATTTTACTGGAGACCTGTTGAGACCTGAGCTGGCGAGCTATACTTTACTGAGACCTGTTAAGGAGCTATACTTTACTGAGACCTGTTGGCGAGCTATACTTTACTGAGACCTGTTGGGAGCTTGCTATACTTACTGAGACCTGTTATGGCTGTTATACTTTACTGGAGACTGTTAAGACCTGTTGGCGAGCTATACTTACTGAGACCTGTTGAGCGAGCCTATACTTTACTGAGACCTCCGCTACATGAGCTTGGCGAGCTATACTTTTACTGAGACCTGTTGGCGAGCTTCTACTTGAGACCCTTGGCGAGCCATAATGAGACCTGTTGGCGAGCATATCAATTTATGTGAAGATATTCCTCCCCATACTTGTATTATACCTGATGCTTAAAAAGACGCTACCTGGTTAGAATAGGTTAGTTTAGATTAGGTTAGGTGGGGTTGGGTTAGGTTAGGTTAGGTGGGGTTGGGTTGGGTTAGATTGGGTAAGTTTAGGTTAGATTTGATGTTTAGTTAGATTAGGTTAGGTTAGGTTAGGTTAATCTTGTGGTGATCCCAGGTATAATATGGAGATCTGATGGTGCATGGTCGGGCAGCTTCTGTGTGTCTGAACCTAAATAACTTATAAATGGTGTTTGTTTTTGTTATCAATATTACGTATTTTGGTGTGTGTGTGTGTGTGTGTGTGTGTGCCTAATACTGTATTAACATCCGTGTACAGTGAACACATTGATACTGTATAATCAGTCCTTAAGGTTGAGACATGTCCTGTTGTACCAGGGTTTTTATCAGAAAGTCAAACACACACACACACACACACACACACATACACACACACACACACATATACACACACACACACACACACACACACACACACACACACACACACATACACACACACACACACACACACATACACACACATACACACACACACACACACACACACACACACACACACACACACACTACTATTACTACTTTGCTGTCACTCGGAAGCGAGTATGACGATCATCCAGTTATGATACAATGAAATGAGTTATTGGGGATGTCAACCAGGTTGGTGAGTTCTGAGGTGACTAAAGAGGCCGAAACGGGACCGGCAGGGTCGTCCACAGATGTTACACATGTGGAGGGCTACATCTAGTGCGGAAGGGGCGACTATAGCGTCTTTCCAACGTTGGCGCTTGTTTACCTCGTTATGCAGTCGAGCTAACTCGAAAGAATTGACACCCTCTTGTGTGTTGCTTCTCTAAGCGTTACGGTGTGGAGTAATCGTCTCCCGGGTGAGGGGGTCGATTTAGCACTTTTTCAGATTTGTCTTAAGACTATCCTCATACCTTTTCAATTGCCCGCCAGGGTTACGTTTACTATTCGTTAGGTGACTGTAAAGTAGCTGCTTTGTTCAGTCCAGCGTAATTGTTCATGGACAATGGTAGCCTCGATGCTCCTACAGCTGGTGGCAGTAAGAATACTGGCATTTGTTATCTTGTCTTCCCAGCGAACACGGAGGATGGAACGTAGACTAACGTTGGTGAAAGTTTTGAAGTGCCTTGAGGTGCCTCCTGTATGTGATTCATGTCTCGCTGCCATATAGCAGAGTGGGGAAGGACCACTGCTCGATACAGCTGAAGACATGGGTACAGAGTCTGCCAAAGGCTTGAGATGCACATCTGATCCGACAATGAATCTCTTCATCGATGTCCGCGGTGGTGGACAGGTGGGAGCCGAGATACCGAAAGTGGGTAACATTAGAGAGGGTAGTACCGTTAAGCTGGATGGATGGTGGAGATGTGGCTGAACCAGGGGCAGGCTGAAAGAGGATCTGAGACTTATGTACATTCACCTCAAGACCGGAGTGTAGTCTCATAATTCTATGCAAAAGTGAACACTGATGCCTATTTTATATGCCTATCCGCCCTACTACTGAGTTGTTAGTGTCATAAGTGAAAGGCTGAGTGTCAGATTATCAACAAGGTTCATTTATCACTTAATTAACGCTAATTCTACTTGTTAACGGCATATGTTAGAACGAGTTTGGGTACGGCGGTAAAGTTGTCTCTCTGACCCTGTGTTCCTTTGATACAATACAACCATTATTTCAAATGCATCCTATATAAGGTTAGGTTAGGTTAGACACAACTACAGCTCGGTAGACCGCATACTAGAGTAGCACCCAGAAATGACCCCTAATAAAACTACATTAGCCTGTAGAGTTATTAACCATTACTATCTAAACTTTTACAAGTAAATTATATTAAAATAAATTTACGTTTCGTCGTTTGAACAACATAAAAGTTTGGGTTTGACTTGGATATTCAGGAGGAGAGGTGTGTTGAGGAGGCCTTGAGATAAATGTACAGTATATATCAGCTGCCACTAAGAGGACTCAGACTCAGCCATCTCAATGTTGTTCTCATTGTTCACTCTGTACCTGGATTTTTCTGGCTAAATAATGTTTCAGCATCACTAGATAATATCGTTCCTACCTGTGTCAGGGCCAAGCATGACTCGAACCCAGGACATATTGGTGAGACGTATGCGCGTTACGGCTGTACCACCAACACTGTTACTACATTAGATACTTATAACACATATTTAAACACCTCTAGTAAATAAAAAGTATAGTTTTTTTTTTGCGTGCTGGTCAGCCTCGATCCAGGGGCCGGATGACCCCCGGACAACTGCTCTCCGACTTGACCAGCACGTCGCATTAGTATTAATAACTTGACTAAATTATATGTAACAAAGCCAATGTTCTCTTTGATAACATAAATATCCAGGTAAGTTTTGTGTTATGGATACATTATTTACGTTGATTGATAGTTTGTTTAACTATTATTATTCTTGTTTCGTATTTTCTTCTTTCTCGCTGTAAATCCGACTATGAGAAAGATTTAGGAGTAATGATAAGTAGGAATCTTAAACCAAGTCAACAATGTGTATTTGCTCGAAACAAGGTTAACAAAGTACTTGGGTTCATACAAAGGAGTGATGATAGTTACAAGACTAGCGAGGTTATCCTAAAACTATATCATGCGCTTGTGAGACCTCACTTGGATTACGCGGTTAATTCTGGTCACCGTATTACAGAATGGATATAGAATCCCTAGAAAGCATTCAAAGGAGAATGACAAGACTAATCCCGGGCATTAGGAACCTTGATTACAAAGACAGGTTAAAGCACCGTAATTTGCACTCCCTCGAGAGACGTAGAGTGAGGGGCGATATGACAGAGGTGTATAAATGGAAGTCAGGGCTAAACAAAGGTGATATAACAAAGGTACTCAAACTATCCAACCAGGAGCGAACTCGTAATAATGGTTGTAAATTAGACAAATTTAGATTTAGGCGCGAGATAGGTAAACACTGGTTTGGAAATAGAGTAGTGGATGAGTGGAACAAGTTACCAAATATCATCATTAACTCGAATACGCTGGATAGCTTCAAACATAGGTTGGATGGATATATGAGCGATAGGGGTTGGGTGTAAATGGGACTGCCCAGTATGAACCAATAGGCCCGCTGCAGTTTCTTCCACTCTTATGTTCTTATGTGTACCGTATTATCGTCTAATTTCTAAGAGTTTTGTAATTGGTTAGGGTAGGTTAGGTTAGACTAATTTACACTTTAGGCTATTACTGTATATTAGGTTAGGGTAGATTAGTTCGTGTTAGCTTAGGTTAGAGTAGATTAGGGTTTGGGCGTTCAATCATACGGCAAAACAAACTGGGCTGCCTAATTATCACCTGCTACTCCTCGTCCTACCAGAGCAACACTATTGTAAGTGTGAGGAGAGGCAAGTGTGAGGGGAAGCAAGTGTGAGGGGAAGCAAGTGTG